ATAGTTCCCCTCGCCCTCTTTCACTCTTTCTCCTCTGCTCCGCCCCCCTCCCCATTCCGTCGCTTCTCTCACTCCCTTTCCTTACTGTATAGATACGTCCTTTTATCAACGAATTAAATCAATTAGTGTATGGAGCCTTGCTCGTGTGCCTAAACGCGTGTGATGCTTCCAGTTGGATGGGTGCACTGCACTGCATTGCATTGCATGAACAAAACTCTCACAGTGCTCTCTGTGCTCATCTCTCTTCATCCCCAACCCCACCTTCTCCCTTCCTGTTTTCCACCATCAGCTCCTCCGCGTCCCAGCACCGCCCGCCAACCGGCATTGAAGTGCTCTTTGCACTCCGGCCCCCCTCTGCTGCTGCTCCCTCCTCTGCCGCCCCCTCCTCGGATTCTCCGTCCTCTGCTGCTGCTCCTTGCTCTGCGGTTCCTTCCCCTGACGCTGCTCCCTCCACTGCCGTTGACAAGGGCTCGTTGCAAGCACCCTCAGCTACACCCTCCGCTCCCCCTGCTAAGAGCTCGATACAAGCACCAGCACCGTCTGGTGCTCCCTCCTCTGTTCCCACTAAGCCCTCGTTACAGGCACCCTCCACTGCACCTTCCACAGCCACCCTCACAACTGCCCCCCCTGCTGCAGCCTCCACAGCCCCTCTCAAGAGCATGTGCAAAGAACCCTCCGCTCCTCCCCCCCCTCCTCCCCTCTTGAAACGCCCGGTAAGGGACCCATTATCTACTACCACCACCACGGCCTCTGGCAAGACTGGTTGCTCCTCCGCCGCTGCTGTCACAGCCCCTCACAAGAGCGCAGCGGCAGCAGCCCCCTCTCCTGCCCCCACTGCGCAATGCAAGACCTCGTTACAAGAACCCTCTGCTGCTGCTCCCTCCGCTGCCCCTGCTAAGAGTGCATCAGGCACCCCACTTGGTCTTTCCACTGCTGCTCCGAAGTCCTTGTTTGGGAAAGCCCCTGCTGCTCCCGCCCAGGCCCCAATAAAGCATTCATTAAAAGCACACCTAGCTGCTCCCGCCACTGCTTCTGCAAAGTATGCTTCAGAAGGCTGGAGGTCGGGAGCGGGCAATGCAGGTGTGGGGAGGGATGGTGGTGGGAGGGAGGCGGAGGAGGGTCCGTGGAGAGAGGGCGGCAGACTTGGAAAGGGCGCAGAAAGAGAAGGGAGTGGTGGGCATGTGAAGAGTAGTGGGCTTGTGAGGAATGCTGGGGTTGTGAGGAGTGGGAGCAAGGAAGGTAGAGGGTATGGGAAGAGTGTGAAGGCTGGTGGCAGGGTAGGGGCAGGGAGAGGTGGAGTGGACGGTGCAGATGTAGGGAGGGGTGGAGTGAACGGTGGAGATGCAGGGAGTGCAGGGAAGGTAGACAGGGGAGTGGCGAGAGCTGATGGTGAGGGGGTAAGTGTGGGGGGTGAGTGGAGAGAGGGGGGCCAGCAGGTGAAGAGTGTGTGGGGCGTGGGGAAGGGGAAGGAATCAAAGGCTGGTGGCAAGACAGGTGCTGGGTCAGTTGCAGGGAGTGTGGGGAAGCAAGGCACTGGAGTGGGAATCGGTGGTGGTAATGGTGGCGTCGCGGGTCGATTGGAGGGGAAGAGACAACAAGAGGGTGCTTGGCTGGCGAAGGGTGCTGGGGGGGCTTCAGGGAAGGTGAAGGGTGTGGGCCCGCCTGGGCTTGCTGTGAGAGTTGGAGGTGTAAGGAAGGAAAATGTGGGGACAAGTGCAATTCTCAGGGGGATGGTCGCCGGTGGTGGCGAGCAGAGAAGAGAAAGAGATGCGGTTACAGGAAGCAAAGGGGCACCAGTCACAGGAAAGGTGTTGGGAGGGAAGGGGGTTGGAGTGAGGGAACACGGAGTGAGGGAATACGGAGGGGTGAAGATGGCACCAACAACCATAGGCTTCAAACTGGGAGGCAGAAAATTGGGAGGGAGCAAGATGGGAGGGAGCAAAGAAGGGATGAGGATAGGAGCAGCAAGGGAGATTGGTGCAAAGAGAATGTGTGAAAGCAAGGTGGTAGAAAAAAAGGGTTACTCAAGACTGCTAAAAGTTGGAGCGTTGAGGGCAAAAGCATTGGAGGGAAAGCGTGAGAAGGAGGGAGATGAGGGAAGGGACAGATGGAGGGATGACTGGAGTGAGAGGAGAGAGGATGAGAGAGGGAGGAGAGGGGATGAGAGTGAGAAGAGGACAGACGATGGAAGTGAGAAGAAGAGAGAGGATGAGAGTGAGAAGAGGAGAGAGGATAAGAGTGAGAAGAGGAGAGAGAATGAGAGTGAGAAGAGGAGAGAGGATGAGACCGAGAAGAGGAGGGAGTATGAGAGTGCAAAGAGGAGAGAGGATGAGAGTGAGAAGAGGAGAGAGGTCGAGAGTGAGAAGAGGAGAGAGGTCGAGAGTGAGAAGAGGAGAGAGGTCGAGAGTGAGAAGACGAGAGAGGTCAAGGGTGACAAGAGGAGAGAGGATGAGAGTGCGAAACGAAGACAGGATGAGAGCGAGGAAGTGAGGGATGGTCGGAGGGGGGAAGAGTGGGATGCTACCAGCAGGGATGTGGAGAGGACGAAAGGGAGAGACAATGCTAGACAGCAGCTGTTGGAGCGTGGAGGGGAAGGTAGTATGAATACCAGACAGCAGTTGTTGGGAACGAATTGGAGTACTGAGGAGGAGGGATGGGGGATTGATGAGGAGGACTGGAATGAGGAGGAGGAGGGGAAAGAGGAGGACAAGCAGGAGAAGGGGGGGGAGCAAGAGGAGGAGGAGGAGGAGGAAGAGGAGGCGAAGGAGGAGAAGCAGGGGCTAGGGGAGAAAGAGGAGGGAGAGGAAGAGAAGGGCAAGGTACATGAAAGAAGGGAAAGGAGTCTGGGGATGGAAATAGGAAGCGAGTTTTGTGATGCAATCAGTGGGAGGCTTGGAGGAGCTAGGCAGGTATTCAGTGGTGTTGAGGAGGAAGGTGGCAGTGCTGTGAGCCTGAGAGATAGTGCCGCCGCTCACAGCACGGCCACCCTCGCTCCTCCTCCTCTTCCTGCTGAAGTGCTGATGATGAGAGCGGATGATGCAGGAGAAGGGGAAGATGATAAGTCTGTGCAACTCACAACTGAAGGTAGTGATTCAGGCGTGTGGATGATGGTTGATGAAGTGACGGAGGAGGTTTCTCGAAAGGACCAGGAGCAAGAGGATGGGATAGAGGAAAAGGCAAAGGGAGAAGTAGAGGAAGGGGAGGAGAAGGTGAAAGGAGGGGAAGAGGAGGAGAGAAAGGAAGAGCAAGAGGAGAGGAGAAGGGAAGAGCAAGAGGAGAAGAGAAAGGAAGAGCAAGAGGAGAGAAGGGAAGAGCAAGAGAGGAGAAATGAAGAGCAAGAGGAGAGGAGAAGGGAAGAGCAAGAGGAGAGGAGAAGGAAAGAGCAAGAGGAGAGGAGAAGGGAAGAGCAAGAGGAGAGGAGAAGGGGAGAGCAAGAGGAGAGCAGAAGGAAAGAGCAAGAGGTCAGGAGAAGGGAAGAGGAAGAGGAGAGGAGAAGGGAAGAGCAAGGAGAGAGGAGAAGGGAAGAAGAGAAGAAAAGGGAAGAGGAAGAGCAAGAGAGGAGGGAAGAGGAGAAACGAAGGGAAGAGGAAGAGGAAGAGGAAGATGAGAAAAGGAGGGAAGTGGGAGACGGGGAAGGAAGAAATGAGGGAGAGGAGAAACGAAGGGAAGGGGAAGAGCAGCAAAGGAGGGGAGAGGGAGAGGAGAGCAGCGAAGAAGAGGAGGAGGAGCAGCGATGCCAGCCCCTGACCGATGGGCGAAAGGCAGAGCCAAGCAGTGTTGGAGGGGGGGCTGTGGTGCAACACACCCAGGTAACCACCTAATTCATTTCCTTTCAATGAGCGTGCTCACACTCATTGAATGAGTGCTTGAATAGGTGCGAATACGCAGGTAAGCAATACGTCTCTCAATCTTGTGGCTATTGGGTGTGGCGAGCCTTGGCGAGGTGAACCTCTCTTCAATATACCTCCTTTCGGGAAATCTTGCCCTCTCATTATGCTTCGTACCCACCTTGCCTCTTCTGCTTGTTTCTTCAATCTCATGATCATGGGGTCACCACTCAAGACGCTTTTTCCCCATGCCTTGTTGATGCGCTTGGCAGGAAATCGGTGGCTGCTTTCGATCTGTCAGGAGGCAAGTGCTGCGCTGTGCCATGCAACAGGATGACGTGCAGGATGGCATGCAGGATGGCATGCAGATGCAGTATGACATGGATGAGGAGGATGCTGCGTGGCTGACGGCCTACAACAGCAGACTCACCCATGCCTATGCCCATGCGCATGCGCATGAGCGTACAAGAGCTGGGAAAGAGCAGTCAGGGAGTGGGAGTGATGAGGCGTGTGCGAAGCTAAGTCTGTCGGAGGAGGCCTTTGAGGCGTGCATGGCCTCTCTGGACTTGCACCCTTCTGCCGCTGCTCACTATGCTGCTCCTTCTGCCGCTGCTGCTGCTGCTGCTGCTGATGGTGATGGTGCTGCTGCGGCTGCGGCTGCTGCTGTTGCTGTTGCTGTTGATGATGATGACGATGATGGTGTTTCTGGTGATGTGGATGCAGCCTGTGCACGTGCTGCTTGGGGGGTGGTCCACGCTGATGGTTCTGATCTCAATAACATGCCAGGAGGCTTGAGCGCAGCAAGGGAGGAGGGCGGGGTAGGAGCGCCACAGGGGCCAAAGACCATGCGGCATGATGCCGAGGCACTGCGATGCGATGTGTGCTTCCAGCCGGGGGAGACCCCCTACAACCCTGTGAGTGGCGCACCATGCATGCATGCATGCACCATGCTTATTGCCTGACTCAGAAGCCATCATGTGAGCAAGTGTCACGGGCTAAGGCAGTGAGCCATGATGCGGAGGTGGCACTGCGATGCGATGTGTGCTTCCAACCGGGGGAGACGCCTTACAACCCTGTGAGTGGCGCACCATCCATGCATGCATGCCTGTGAGTGCCGCACCATCCATGCATGCATGCATGCATGCATACAGGCATGCTCATTTTGCCATGCAGAGGCGTGTGGCAGCCACAAGTCCCCGCAGTCACCAGCATGCAACATGCTTCTCTCTTACACCTGACCCTCTCCCCCCGTTCACCCTCTCCCCGATCATTCACCCTCTCCCCGATCATTCGCCCTCTCCCCGATCATTCGCTCTCTCTCCCCCCCCACCCATCAGTTCCTCTGCTGCTCCCTCTGCGCCACAGCCGTCCACCAGCTCTGCTACGGCGCCGTGGGCCTTCCCCCCTTCTTGGCTGCTGTTTGAGTCATTTTTCACCTATTTTCCGGCCAATCCGCCCCCTCACCGCAATCCACCTCTCTCCACCCATCCACCCTCTCCCTCTCTCCCCCCCCACCCATCAGTTCCTCTGCTGCTCCCTCTGCGCCACAGCCGTCCACCAGCTCTGCTACGGCGCCGTGGGCCTTCCCCCCTTCTTGGCTGCTGTTTGAGTCATTTTTCACCTATTTTCCGGCCAATCCGCCCCCTCACCGCAATCCACCTCTCTCCACCCATCCACCCTCTCCCTCTCTCCCCCCCCACCCATCAGTTCCTCTGCTGCTCCCTCTGCGCCACAGCTGTCCACCAACTCTGCTACGGTGCTGTGGGCCTCCCCCCCCTCTGGGCTGCGCGCTCCCTCCTCCCCCCCTCCCTGCACGCCCCCCCCCTGCCGCCCCTGCTCCCACTGGCTAGCGACGGGAAGGCAGAGGGAGAAGGGCCGGGCAGGGAGACAGTCCAGAGCGGGCATGGTGGTGATGGCGGTGCTGCTGGTGCCACTGCTGGTGATGGCGGTGCTGCTGGACAGGGCGTGCAGCTGAGCAAGCAGGCAGCAGCGAGGCGGTTCAAGTGGCGCTGTGTGCCGTGCCATCTCTACGCCCGAGCATGCAGCAGCGGCGGCGGCGCTGCTGCTGCAAACACCTGCTCCCAGCCGCCTCCCCTCACGTGAGTACCAGGTGGTTCAAGTCAAGTGGCGCTCTGTGTGTACAGTGTGCCGTGCCATCTGTACGCCAGAGCATGCAGCAGCGGTGGCGCTGCTAGCAGCACCTGCTCCCAGCTGCCTCCCCTCACGTGAGTATGCGTGCATGCAGGGGGGTCCCCTTACTAAGTGGTTCAAGTCAAGTGGCGCTGTGTGTCGTGCCAGCTCTACGCCAGAGCATGCAGCAGTGGCGGCGGCGCTGCTGCTGCCAATACCTACTCACAGCCGCCTCCCTTGACGTGAGTATGTGAGGTGCACACCTCCTGAGTCCTGACCACCTCATGCATGATGCATGTGCTCCTGCCTCTGCTGCCGAGCCCCTCTCACTCTTATCATTTTCATTTCCGACATGCTTTCACCCCCCTCTCGAGATGCCTCCACGGCTTTCAACCTTTGAAGCTGCACCGTTGCATATGTTTCCTGTCTGCTGGTCCTGAACACTACAGAACAACCCGTCACCCCGCATCCCCTGCTTTCGAGGCACCTCAAAATAGGTGTCTGTTTGCTACCAGTCCTTGCCCCACAACCATCAACCCGTCGCCCCCCACCCACCCCCCTCCGCAACTGTGCATTATGCCGAACCACAGGAGGAGGGGCGTTCAAGCCGTGCGTGGACGGGCCACTGCCAGCCGATGCCGAGAGGCAGGTGGAGGGAGGAGAGCGTGGGGAACGTGGGGAATGTGTGGGGAGGGCAGAGGAGCAATTGACGGGGGAGGAGGGGCGTTTCGTAAAATCAGAGGGGCGTGTGGGAGGAGCAGGGACCAGAGGGGAAGCTGGTGGGGAGCCAGGTGGTGAGAGAAAGGACAATCGGGCCCTGATGATGAGGAAGCGAGCAGAAAGTAGGCAGCGGAGGAGGAGGAGAGAGGGGCAAGAGCAGCAGCAGGGGCGAATCTCGAGGAAGGATGCAGGACGAGAGGGGAAGGGGAGTGAAAGGAGGGTTGCTGAATCTGTCCGAGATGGTGGCAAAGCTGGGGGAAAACGGCAGAGGGAGCGAGAGGGTGGAAATGGGAGAGAGGGAGAGGGTAGAGGAGGAGAGGTTAATGGGAAGGGCAGGCAGGGTGGAGGGAGAAGTGAGAAGCAAGGAGGGAGCGACAAAGAGCAGCGTGGGATCGGTGGATTTGGCTCTAAGGGGGAAAAGAAGAGGAGAAGTGATGACTGCGTGGACCCAAGCAGTGACAGAAGTAGCAGCAGTAGTGGTGACAGCAGTAGTGGCAATGGGAGTGAGAGTGGAAGCAGTAGTGAGAGCGAGAGTGGTAGTGGCAGTGGGAGCAGCAGCAGCAGCAGCAGTGGGTGCAGTGGGAGCAGCAGCGATGAGAGCAGCAAAAGCAACGGCCACGATGGCAGGACACACAAGAATCAGAAGGCGGGAAGGAGGAATGCAAGGGCAGGGTGAAAAGAGCAGAGTGGGGCAGGGGAAGGGCAGGCACAGGCACGAGTGGCAAGCAAGGGTTGGTTTGAAGAGAGACGGCAGCAGCTGCCAAGAAGTTGGCAGAGGAATGAAAGGAGACGGTGAGATGAAGGCAGTGGGTGCTGCTGGTCCTGTCACGCTGAAAGAGGAGCGCAGTGGGGTGAAGGAGGGAGTTGAGCACAGCGTGCTGCAGAGGGAGCGTGGCAGCGGTGGGAGGGATGTGGCAGGGGAAGTGAAGGGAACCTGCAGCGCAAGTGGTAGCAGCGGAGGTCGAGGGAAGGGTGATCCGGGCAGGGGTCATGATGACAAGGCCATGTGTCGACAAGTCCGGGACATGTGTGATGAGGGCAACGCGAGGCATCAAGGGGACATGGACATGCCTCTTGCATCAAGAGACGTACCACTTGTGTCGAAGCGCATGCCAGCTGCATCAAAAGACATGCCAGCAGCGTTGAGGCACCTGCGCTGGGTGCATGTTACATGCGCTCTCTTCGACTGCCATGTGTTCTTCGGCAGTGCTGAGTCGCTCCAACCCATCATGTGAGTCGCTCCAACCCATCATGTGAGTCGCTCCAACCCATCATGTGAGTCGCTCCAACCCATCATGTGAGTCCGTTTCTTCTCCTGTTGTTTCCTTTCCTTACTACCCAACTCTTGTCGGCCTTTGTTGATCTCTCCTTTTCCACTGTCCCAAACCTCTGTCTTCCCTTCTCCCTCTTTGCTCCCCCTTATCCTTCCCTCTGTCACTCCCCCTGTCTCTCTTCTTCCACGCACAGGGGTGTGGCAGCTGCTGCAAAGAAGAGGGCGGAGCGCAGGCAGCATTCACTAGCAGCACCAGCAGCAGCAGCAACAGCAGTGGAGTGCTGTACCTGGTGTCGTGAGCCCGACGGTCCTCTCGACCTGCTGCCCTGCGCCTACCCTCTCTGCCCCACCCGATTTCACGTTCGCTGCGGCCTGCTGCATGGCTGCTCCGCTATTGTAAGACTCGCTAAGACTCCCTCTTATTGCGGATCGGGTGGTTGTGCTGCGTATGCGCGAACCTTGGCAGGCGAAATAAAACTCTCTGGCTTTAAGTTGAAATAATTCTCGTGCTAACCAGAAGTACCAACCTATTTTCTCCGTCTCCTTTTCCTTCTATCTCTCCCCCCACTTCCCTTCCCCCTATCTCCTAGGTGCGAGAGACCGACCTGTACCAGCGCCAAGTGATGGCCTTGTGTGCCGCTCACGCTGCAGCTGTGCAGGGGGGTGAGGAGACAGCAGCCGCTCCCTCAGGTGCTCATGCCACACATGGCACTGCCACACGTGGGGCTGCCATGCATGAGAACACAGCAGGGGTTGCTGACCATGTGGCAGCACCGTCTTTAGATGAAGGCTTTGGTGGGGCTCAGGTGGAGAGGGAGCAGAGGCACGCAGACGGAGAGACGGGTCACGTGGGGGCAGTGAAAGCGGCTGTTGATGAGGTGCCGCCAGGGTGGGAGTCTGGATTTTTGGGGGAGCATCTGGGGGCTGTGAGGGAGCATTGGAGGAGGCGACGAGAGGCAAATGGAGGCATGCCCTCGCTCCTTCACCTCGCGCATGTGAGTGGCGGCCCAATGCCATGCTCGTGAATGGATGCAATGTACCGTGCTTTCGTGAGTTGCCACCATTTTTTAGGCGCCTCAAAGATCATTCACCATCCGCCTCCCATGGCACACAGGGGTCACCTCACCCGCCCTCCTTAATTATCCCTCTCCTCCTCCACTTCCTTCCCTCTTCATTTTCTTCCCTCCCCCTTTGCTTGCTTGCCCATCAGGCCCGAATGCAGCAGCTAGAGGCGGCTCAGCTCACACCATCAACACCCCTCCACGAGAATGTCTCTCCTTCCTCCAATCTCCCCAGTCCTTGTGATGCTGCTGCCGCCCCTGCTGCTGCCACCGCTGCTGCTGCCTCTGTTGCTGCCACTGCTGCTGCTACTGCCACCGTTGATGGTGATGGTGGTCGAGCTGGACATGATGATGGTGGAGACGATGGGGCGAGTGCTGATGGCACAAGAGACCCATGGGAGATGCAGCAGGTGCAGGAGACAGAGGAACACGATGAGCGGAAGAGGGAGAGTGGTGAGAGGAGAGCAGGAGTGGTCACAGCAGTGTGCGATGAGAGGAAAAGAAGGAATGGTGAGAGGAAGGGAGAGAGTGCTGGGATGAAGAAGCAGCATATTGCAGCGAAGGAGTGTGAAGCCAAGCCCCTCGCACCACCACCACCACCTCCACCTGCCTCAGCAGCAACGTCTATTGCTGCAGCAGCAGCGACAGCAGCAACGGCAGCAGCAGCAGCAGCTTCTGGTACTGATGGGAACAAATCTGCATGTGTGTGGTGCGCGGGCCACGGAGCAGCAGTGCAGTGCTCCCTGTGCGCCCTCCGATTCTGCTACCAGTGCTTCAAGCGTCGCAAGGGCTACGGCGTCAAGGGGTGGACCACGGCCCTGCGCCAGCCCGCGTACACGTGTCGTGGGTGCCTGGGGGAGGAGGCACGTGCGGACGTGAGTGTGCATGGGGATGCGGGCATGGGTATGCCTAGGGATGCGGATGTGCATGGGGGTGTGGGTGTGCTAGCACGTGTCACAGCGCAGGCAGGTGCTGGTGGTCATGCGGTTAAGGGTGTGCTGTATGGGGAGGAAAGGAGGGTTGGGGGTGAGGGGAGAGGGAGGGCATTGGTGGGAGTTGACGAGGGAGGTGTGGAGGGAGGTGTGGAGGGAGGTGTGGAGGGAGGTGTGGAGGGAGGTGTGGAGGGAGGTGTGGAGGGGGGTGGGAGGCAGAAGAGGTTGCAGGAGGTGATGTGGGGAGAAGGGGGCGGTGAGGAGGTGGTTGAAAACGGTGGCAAGGTGGTTGGGGAAGGGCGTGTGAAGCGAGGGAGGAGGCAAGTCGAGGAGGAAGAGAAGGAGGGAGAAGAGGAGCAGGAGGAGGGAGAAGAGGAGAGAGAGGAGGAGGAGGAGGATGAGGAGGAAGAAGAGGAGGAAGAGGAGGAGGATAGGCGGGGTGGGAGAGACATTGATTTTGAAGAGGAGATAGGGGTGGGTCTGCTGAGCAGGGGTGGGGGAAGGCGAACAGGGGAACGGGAGAAAGAGAGGACGAGCAGGGTTATGGAGCGAGGGAGAGGCAGGCAGGGGAGAGGAAGAGGCAGGGGAGATGGAGGGAGGGTCGGTGACTGGTTGGCAGATGTGCCATGCAGTGAGGAGGAAGAATCAGAAGGGGTAAGATTTGGTGCGAGGGGTAAGGGGAGAGGTGGAAGGGGTGGGCTTAGGGGAAGGGACGTGTGGGAAGTAACAGAGGGGGATGAGAAGAGGAGTGAGTGTGAGGAGGGGGGGGAGGAGGAGGAGGAGGAGGAGGAGGAGGAGGTGTGTGTGCGATTTCAATATAGTAGTGAGTGTGGGGGCACAGAGGAGGAGGGGCAGGAGGGCAGTGCCAGGGAGAAGGGAAGATTTGCATTGGAGGGTAACTGGGTGCATGTGGTGGTGAAAGGGGAGAAGGCGGAGCGATTGAGGTTGCAAGAGATAGTGCATGTGCGTGTGGTGAGCAGGGATGGGTTGAATGCGGTAAACAGTGAGAGTGTGGAATTTGGGATGGAGGGTCAGGAGAGAGTGGGAACAGATGGTGTTAAGTGGGAAGGAGAGGGGGAGCAAGAGGAGGACGAGGAGGAGGAGGAGGAGGAGGAGGAGGAGGAGGAGGAGGAGGAGGAGGAGGAGGAGGAGGAGGAGGAGGAGGGGGAGGAGGAGGAGGAGGAGGAGGAGGAGGAGGAGGAGGAGGAGGAGGAGGAGGAGGAGGAGGAGGAGGAGGAGGAGGAGGAGGAGGAGGAGGAGGAGGAAGTGGTGGGAGGGGAGGAGGAGGAAGGCACACTGGGGGGTTTACGAGAGGAGGGAGTGGGAGGGGTGGCAGAAGGTGAGGAAGGTGAGGAAGAGGAGGAGCAGTGGAAGCAGGAGCTGTGGAGTGAGTTGGACAGGATGGTGGCGGAAGTTCAGGATGTGGGTGCGGACCACATGGGTGGTGACCACATGGGTGGTGACCACATGGGTGGTGACCACGTGGGTGGTGACCACATGGGTGGTGACCACGTGGGTGATGACCACGTGGGTGGACTTGCAAGGGACATGCAAGCGCAAGCAAGTGGTATGGAAGAGACGGAGGGACACGTGGGGAGAGGTGAAGGCAGTGACAGGGAGAGAGCAGACGGCAAGGTGGGAGGTGTGGCATGGGGCCATGTGCATGGCATGGCAACAGGGGACTCACATGCGCTGGGTAACACGGACACGCATGGGGGGTTGCAAGTAGGGTATGGGGGGCTCGTGGGGCATGAGGGGTTGAGGGCGGAGGGGGAGGGGGGCGGGGTGGGAGAGGAGGAGCAGTGTGAAGCAGATGGACGCACGGAGCGAGTTCGAGAGGATGGAAGGGAGCTGGCTAGGGGGGTAGTGAGTGTGGATGGGAGTGTGGGAGGTGAGGGTGGAAGCATGGCAGCTGCAGGCAGGGACACAGAGCCCTCTGCTCCCTGTGACTGGGGCGGAGGTGACGGGGATAATCACAAGGCTGTGGGAGAGGAGGGGTGTGGTGCAGGGCATTCGGGACTGGCGAGTGGCATGTGGGGGGATGGGGACCAGGGGCAGGGCTCCTGGGGAGCAGATGGGGGAGGGGAGGGTGGAGCGGGAGGAGGGGATGGTGGGGATGATGGGGATGGAGGAGATGGTGGGGATGTGGGGGATGAAGGGTGGTGGAGCCGAATGTTTCCTGATTCTCCCTTAGCCCCTCACGAACAGCCTCACTCTCACCAGCAGCCGCCCTGCCTCGAGCTACACGACAGTGGAATGACTCTTGGCTCAATCCATCCTCCTTCGCAGCTACCCCTTGATGCCCCTCATGCTCTCTCCCCCCCTGCTCTTCCCGCCGTCCCTTCCCCTCATGCACATGCAACCCTGTCCCCTCCTATATCCGCTTCCTCTCCCATGCCTTCTTCCCCTTCCATACCGCCTCCCCATTCCGTAACCCTATTCGCTGCTGCACCCGCTACTACTGCTCCAGCCGCCATGCCATTTCCCTCCCATGCCACGCCATCTCCCTCCCACACCACCCCAAACCTCCCCCCATCTCCCTCCCACACCACTCCAAACCTCCCCCCATCTCCCTCCCACACCACCCCAAACCTCCCCCCATCTCCCTCCCGCTCAACGCCTCTCATCGTGCCCTCTCCCTCCCACACAGCCCTGCCAATTCCTCCATCCCCTCCCCCAGCGCCTTCCTCCCTCTCTCCCCACGCCCCACACTCACTCATAGCTGCAGCCCTCCCTCCGCTGCCTCCTGCTCCTCCTCTGATGCCCCATGCCCTGCATCTGCCTACTGCACTTGGTGCAGGAGGGCCAGAGGCAGAGGGGCAAGATGAGGGACGCGAGGATTCGGGAGTTGTGGGGTTGCAAAGGGGTGTCGGACAAGGGATGGGCGAAAGGGAGGGGTCAGATGCAGGGGAGGTGGGCGGGAGGTGGGGCAAGCGGCAGAGGGTGGAAGTGGGGGGATCAGCAGCAGAGCCCCTCCAGCCAAAAGTGGAGGGGCATCGCAGTGGTGGCATGGTGGGGCATGGCAGTGGGGGCATGGTGGGGCATGGCAGTGGGGGCATGGTGGGGCATGGCAGTGGGGGCATGGTGGGGCATGGTAGCAGGAATGCGAGGCTCAACTCGGGTGCAAGTATGAAGGCAGATGTAGGCGAGCTTATGGCGGGGCCAAGGGGCAGCAACAGCTTGCAGCATTCTAGCAGCAGTGATGGCAGTGGTAGCAGTGATAGCAGTGACAGCACCAGCAGCAGCAGTGTCAGCAGCAGTAGTGAAGAGACGAGTAGCACCAGTAGTGGCGACAGTAGCAGCAGCATGAGTAGCATGAGTGGGGGCAGGCAAGCCACTAGACTTCCTGGTGGTGAGAGGAGCAGGATGAGGGAGGAGCAAGGGAAGAATGCAGGAAGGATGGTGGTTGGGGAAGGGACCGTGGGAGCAGGATCAGCGGAAGTGGGAGAGCGAGGGGAGGAAGTGGGGAACAGTAGTGGTGGGATGAGGGTGGAGAGACGAGGAGGGAGAGAAGGAGAAGGGGCGAGGAGCACAACTGTTTTGCAGAGGATGAGAGAAGAGAGGGACGAAGGAGGTGGGGGTGGTGTGAGGAGAGCACGCGAGGAGAAGGGAGGGAGGAGTGTGGAAGGGGAGAGGAGTTTTGAAGGGTCCCGAAACTCTGGAGGGGAAAGGAGCTGGGGCAAGGTAGAGGGAGTTAGGAGGGCCGGGGCGAGAGGGGTTGGCAGCAGTGGAAGGGGAAGTGGTGAGGGGAGAGAGTGGAGAGGTAATGTGCCAGGTGGGGGTAGTAGGGTAAGGGTCCCTGGAAGCAGGTCGAGGGAAGGGGAGGTGCAGAGGGTGAGGGGAGAGGAAGCGAATGCAGGGCGTGATGAAGGGTCACTTGGGAAGAGAAGGCGAGAAGAGAGTGCAGATGGGGGAAAAGGGAGTAGTGGTTGGCGGGAGAGGCGTGGAGACGGGTGGGGGAGGCGTGGAGATGGGCGGGAGAGGAGTGGAGATGGGCGAGAGAGGAGTGGAGATGGGCGGGAGAGGAGTGGAGATGGGCGGGAGAGGAGTGGAGATGGGCGGGAGAGGAGTGGAGATGGGCGGGAGAGGGGTGGAGATGGATTACAGAAGGAGATTGCACAGGGAAGAAAGGAGGGGAAAATGCAGCAAGGGATGGGGAAAGGCATGGGATATGAGGGGAAGGGCATGGAGCATGTAAATGGTGGTGAAGAGGCAAAGATGAGTGAGGATGATGTGAGGGCAAGTGGAGCAGAAAGATTGGAGGTACAGGGAGATGCGGGTCACAACGAGAAGGATGAAAGGGGCAGGGGAGCGAGAAGGGAAGATGAGAAAGGAAGAGAAGTGAGAAGGGGCAAAGACGGAAGGGGGTTGAGAAGGGACGACGAGAGAGAAAGGGGATTGAGGGGAGACCAGGAGAGGGAAAGGGGAGTGAGAAGGGACGATGTAGGGAAGGATTTTCAGGCTGTGGGGACTGCAGGGAAAGAGCGGGAGAGAGAAGGACAGGGTAGAAGTGGAGAAGAGAGGCAAATGGATAGGGATAGGAGAGCTGGTGGAGTGAAGGATAGATTCTGGAACAAGAGGAAGCACTCGAATGATTGGGACAGGGGCAGGGTGGTTGAGAGGAGGAGAGAGAGCAAAGGGGGATGGGCAAGAGAGAGGGATGGGCGGGGTGGAGGAATGATGAGGGAGGGGGGAAGTGGGCTGGGGAGAGATGGAATGGACAAAGAGAGAGCAGCTGGAAGAAACATGGTGCGGGATGATGATAGGATGAGAGGACGAGCAGATGGGAGGGTGAGGGAACAGGAGGGTAGCAAGGAGTTGAAGAGAGGGAGGGAAGGGAGCAGGGAGAACAAGCAGCGGTTTGACAATGATGGGAGGCGATTGGATAGGGAGGGTGACTTGGCAAGAGAAAAGGGGATTACACTCAAAAAGGGGAGGGAGGATGCAAGGCGTGGATCGAGCATCCAGCAGGGTGAGAGGAGCTGGGTGCATGAAAAGAAGGGCTTTAATGCTCGTGATGGGGGTTTGAGTGTGAAGGAGAGGGGGGGCTCGAGCACTGGAGGAGCGGCAGCAGGTGCAACGGACCAGGAGAGTGTGAGGAGGCGTGGCGAGGGCGAGAGGAGTAACAGCTGTGGGAGTGGTGCGGAACGGAAGCTGACGTTCAGACGGCAAGAGGGGGGGGTGCATGAAAGGAAGACGGAAGAGAGCCAGCAGAGCAAGCAGGAAGGGCGTGTTCACGAGTCGAGAAGAGAAGAAGAGGGGAAGAAGGTGGCAGTGGGTGGGCAGGAGGGTGGTGGAGGTCGTAGAGGGGGTGTGGGGGAGGAGAGCAGCATGAAGCACCATGGGTCTAGGAAGGAGCAGCATGAATACTCCGTGCGGCATGACCAACCTCCAAAAACATTCAGAGCTACTCGGAGATAGAGCACAAATTTCACTGTACCGTTGTACGGTACCTAGCTTTACAAAGCCAACTCATGATAGTGGTGCCTTCAGAGAGGGAAAATGTGGCGCAGCGCGTCGATCTTGTGTGTACCACTGCAGTCCTGCAAATTCCGTTTCCGAATAGTTTTTTCGTATACAGCTTGGTGCTTATCCTTTCCACCTCCTGTCTAATTCTTTTATTGTGATTGTGTTGTTGCGTGAAGTGCTTGGGATGAACTGAAAGTAATCACATAATTGTAATAAGTTCAAATCAGTGCTGAAGCACCTCGAACCACACGATTTGGTTTGAATAGGGATCTGTTGCAGGCCTTGAATTCGAAGATTTCGGAAATTGCGCTCAGGCTTGGGGTACTGCAGCCTCTGAAGAACGGCTTGCGCGCTTCACCAGAGCTGTTGAGTGGCTGCCCCGAGTTTGTCGCCCCTCTGCCCGCGCTTGCATTTTTATCGAAGCTTGGCAGTGCGAACACGAAAATAATGGTTACGGTCGGACACTGGCAACGTTTTTTTTATCCGTGAATCGCGGCTGTCAGTCGCCCAGGGCAGCACAGAAGGCGGAACAATGCCCGCGGAGAACAAAATTGAGGAGCCCCGCGAGTTTAGCGGGGCACTAGGCTCGGACGGGTGGGGGCGTGACGAACTTCTCGATTTCCGAGCCACCCCAACAGAGCAACCCTTCTCAAGCAAAGACAGGGCTTCCCAGTTCCCTCCAACCCCTCTCCGACTTTGCTGTCTGGGTACAAATCCGCAGCCAAGGAATACCAGCAGTATAGTTGTCCTCGTTTGCTCCAGCCTTCGGCTCAGCTTCAGGCTACTCACTCACCTCCTCGTCACTGCAATGGCCTTTGATTACCCGTCCTATGTGGATGCTCTTAGCTTCTGGAAGAGTCTCGGTCGCGAGAAGCGGACTGAAACATTGCTTCAACCTCCGCGCTCCTCCAGCAACACGAGCAAAGTAAGCCAGGCATCGGAGACAACCGATCCGACCTTCTCAGATCCGACGACGCTAGATCGTTTAACATTGGATCTGATGACGCCTGTCGTACCAGCGGTGGCGTCAGAACCGGCGTTAACGATGGAACCAGCGGCGTCAGAATTGTTGACGTCCGAACCAGCAACATCACTGCTGCTGACTGAATGTCCTCTAATGGCTGTAGCAGCTGGTTCGTCGAAGCCAGCGACACGCTCCGTACCTACCTCACAGCCGCTGCCATCTCGCATCCCTAAACCAAGCGGTCAAAGAATGATTGTGAAAAGCCGCGCGGAGGGGACGACGCTGATCCCAAGACCCGCACGAGCCGCTGCAGCTGAGAGGCAGGTGCGAAGCAGGAGGGGTTCCAACGGTACGAAGCAGCTCGAAGGCAGGAGTGATGCAATTTCCGCGGCTGCAGTGAAAAAGGTTCGTGCTGGATCGTCCTCTAAGGTGGTGCTCGCTGCGAGCTCACGGCGTCCATGGCGGCCGTAAGCCTTACGGAAGCTCCAACCTCCAACGCGGCGCTGATCTACCAAGACTGCACCCGCATATGAGAAAGGGGACCTCCCTTGGGACACCTCTCAGTGGATCCCCGTGCGAGAGGGGGCCTGATTTCCTCTTGGGTAAAAAAAATGACTAAAAAAAAAAAAAAAGTAACAAAAAAGTGGAAAAACAAAACCGAAAAGATAATCAAATTATTCGATAAGCAGCAAAGGAGTATTCCAGCGGGGCGAACCTTGATTTCATCGCGCGAAGCGCCTCCCTGATGAAAGGTGGAGGGCACAGAAGCACCTCAAGCAGATTGCAGCAGTGGGGAGGTGGTTGGGAGGTTGGGAAGTGGGATGATGGTGGGTCCCTTTTTTGCACCCTGCTTGCCAGGGTGTTCGGGAGAGTGGGTTGGGAAACTGGTGGGGGTTGGAAGGGTGAAAATATGCTGCCATTTAGCTGTGGATTTGCTTTCAGTTCTATCCTCCAGGATAGCATCAAGTCAAGAACGCTCTTGAGGAGCATGGCTTTGGCCTGGAGCGCTCCTCAAGGGATGGCTCTCGGCTGGAGCGCTCCCCAAGGGATGGCTCTGGCCTGGAGCGCTCCCCAAGGGATGGCTCTGGCCTGGAGCGCTCCCCAAGGGATGGCTCTGGCCTGGAGCGCTCCCCAAGGGATGGCTCTGGCCTGGAGCGCTCCCCAAGGGATGGCTCTGGCCTGGAGCGCTCCCCAAGGGATGGCTCTGGCCTGGAGCGCTCCCCAAGGGATGGCTCTGGCCTGGAGCGCTCCCCAAGGGATGGCTCTGGCCTGGAGCGCTCCCCAAGGGATGGCTCTGGCCTGGAGCGCTCCCCAAGGGATGGCTCTGGCCTGGAGCGCTCCCCAAGGGATGGCTCTGGCCTGGAGCGCTCCCCAAGGGATGGCTCTGGCCTGGAGCGCTCCCCAAGGGATGGCTCTGGCCTGGAGCGCTCCCCAAGGGATGGCTCTGGCCTGGAGCGCTCCCCAAGGGATGGCTCTGGCCTGGAGCGCTCCCCAAGCGATTGCTCTGGCCTGGAGCGCTCCCCAAGGGATGGCTCTGGCCTGGAGCGCTCCCCAAGGGATGGCTCTGGCCTGGAGCGCTCCCCAAGGGATGGCTCTGGCCTGGAGCGCTCCTCAAGGGATGGCTCTGGCCTGGAGCGCTCCCCAAGGGATGGCTCTGGCCTGGAGCGCTCCCCAAGGGATGGCTCTGGCCTGGAGCGCTCCCCAAGGGATGGCTCTCGCCTGGAGCGCTCCCCAAGGGATGGCTCTCGCCTGGAGCGCTCCCCAAGGGATGGCTCTCGCCTGGAGCGCTCCCCAAGGGATGGCTCTGGCCTGGAGCGCTCCCCAAGGGATGGCTCTGGCCTGGAGCGCTCCCCAAGGGATGGCTCTGGCCTGGAGCGCTCCCCAAGGGATGGCTCTGGCCTGGAGCGCTCCCCAAGGGATGGCTCTGGCCTGGAGCGCTCCCCAAGGGATGGCTCTGGCCTGGAGCGCTCCCCAAGGGATGGCTCTGGCCTGGAGCGCTCCCCAAGGGATGGCTCTCGCCTGGAGCACTCCCCAAGGGATGGCTCTCGCCTGGAGCGCTCCCCAAGGGATGGCTCTCGCCTGGAGCGCTCCCCAAGGGATGGCTCTGGCCTGGAGCGCTCCCCAAGGGATGGCTCTGGCCTGGAGCGCTCCCCAAGGGATGGCTCTGGCATGGTGTGATGTGATTAGAAGCTGTAGCTCAAATTGTGTTTAGGTTTATATGTCAATGGTTTATCATGTCAATGCTCATCCAGGAAAATGCTTCACTTGTGCAACATTTGAAATGGGAAAGAAGACGCAAATGTACCCCACTCAGCAACACAAGCCATACATGAAGTGGTGAGAGGGGCAGGAGGAACAAGTTCCTTAGGGCTGCTTATGTGTCCGGAGAGTCCATGAGCAAAAGGAAAATAGAAAACTTTTGATAAACAGTTCTAATATTTTACATGCGGTCATTGTGTGGCGCAGGCCCTCAGATATCAGCGTAAAACACGCTGATTGCGCTGATTTTGTAGCTCAGGTTTTCGTTTTCCCTGGAAATTCAGCATATGCTTCAATTTTGCACTGAAATTTCAGTATAACCTATTTTGTCACACTGACCATTTTGCGTGTTACCGTACAAGTAACACTGACGAATCAGTATAGTGTACCGAGTCACACTGATTCGGACATGATAGGGTATGGGTGTACACACGATGCCCGTTTGACTAACCCAAGGTTGCCTTACGAAGAGGGCTCTTAAGTGATTCTTGCATTTCGCTAAGTTTTCGTCAATTCGCAGCTAGCAAAAAGGGCCTTTAAAAGTTTTTGTAACTCGCTGTTGACCGTTTGACATGGGTCTCTTCTGTCAAACTTGGGTTTTTGTGGTTCGTATTGCTCGAGGTGCTTATAAATGGGGTGCAACTGGCTGGTACCCTAATACACGGGTGCAGAGTTTCCATCGCGGGCAGAGCAAATTCGCATGCAGGGGTTGGGCATCTTGTGGGTGTTCAAACCAGGATTCCCGCAAAAAGAACTCCCGGCCTTCTCAGGTAGCTCCCGCCTACGGGAATCGAACCTGAGACCTACGCTATTACTAGACATAGCCCAAACAACTACGGCATAAGTTTAACCCCCAAGGCTGATTTGGACACCACTTTGGACACTGCACACTGATCGATCAGCATACCCTGAAACCAATCTGAGGGCCTGGTGTGGCGCTTCTGATTTCAAAAGCTGTTGGATGATGCATGCCTATTTACAAGTTTGTGGACCACTTTTCACCACTGTAGCTTCATTTCATAGTTGGCCATCATCACATGTCACCTCCGAAGAGCCTGCAACACTGCCTTGCTGTAACGGGCTTCATTTCTAAGGCGCCTCAAGAATCGTCACAGTTGATCATCATGACATGTCACCTTCCAAGGTCTTGCAACATTGCCTTGCTGTAATTGGCTTCATCTGTGCTTCACAACCCCTCAGCAACAGCATTCTTGAACTCTGTGTGTATTCCTTTGAACAACGCTCTCAGGTCGCCTTCGCTTGCTGCTGCCTGCACTGCCTCTGCCAAGCCTGGAATGGACGGTTCACTGCTTATCACTGCGCAGATATTACAGTTCAATGGAAATAAGGGAGAAAAGGTGGATGCTGGTTGGAGTAGTGGATGAAATGATGAAATGGGGGTGAGAGATATGGAGAAGGCGGAGAGCGACAGGAACAATGAAAGAATTTTTGGCTCCCTCTAAACTCTATCTGTTATAAAGTTTATTACACCCTTTACTATCACTTCACGTACCTCGAAAGCTCTTGTCCCTGTCACCGCCCATATCTAGCAGGGCAATGAACTGCCTTTCAGGCATCAGGGGATCTATCTTTGTAAAGGTCAATCGAAGCAAGCCATCTGGAGACAAGGGTCATGGTACACAGAAAAGGAAAGACGGTCGCAGTTTAGCACGTGAATGCTCATTTGCAAGTGCAGATCCGTGAGTAAGTGGGTGAATGTGCAAATGCGTTTGTGCTGTGTGTCTCGAGGGTGTACATACAGCACGACAGGAAATGATGAAATTTACTTTGGGGAAGAGGGGGGGTACAAGCGGAATCAGTGAAAGAAAGAGCAAAAGAAAGAGCGAGGGAGGTAGTGGTGATGAATGTGCAAATGCGTTTGTGTTGTGGGTGTACCTGCTCCACGGGGAAAGAGAATGGGATGGTATTGGTCAGAAGAGGGAGGCACGAGAGGAATCATCAAGAGAAAGGGAAAAAAAGAGAGCGAGGAAGGTAGTGAGGGCGGAGAGGTCTTGTAGAATGCCAAGCAAGGAATGCACCAGGCTTGAGAAATGAAGGTGTGGTGAGAACGCACCAGGAGTGGGATCGAAGCGAAGGCCAAAGGCTTCTCTGAACTTTATCACGACTGACAGCAGGGCATCGATGCGCTGTTGCTGAACCTCCTCTGCGTTCTCGAGAGCTGTGCATAAAAAACACACAAATTTAAAGCGTTGAGAAGGTGGGCGGTGATTGATACGCAACAGTTGCATCCAAGTGAAAAAATCACCTGCTGTCCCATCACTCCCCTCACCTTCATCCTCTGCCTGCACGTCCGCCTCCAATTCTGCAACAAAATCCTTCGCCTTCTCTAGCTGAGGCACCAGCATCGCTTTGTCCAGACCCAGCCTTGCCATCTCTTCACACTGCCGGTCCAGGTCATCCTGCTGCTCCTCTTGCTCTGGGATGAGCAGGGGGGATGGAGGGGAGCACAAGGTGGGAGAGGGGGCAAGGCAAACGAGTCCAGACATGAGGTGGGGACACAAAGAAAAGCAACTTGGACTGGAAGTGACACCTACAAGCAGGTGCACTGGCAGTGACAGCTTGCAACAAGTGCTTTTCTTGCTCTGGGATGAGCAGGGGGGATGGAGGGGAGCACAAGGTGGGAGAGGGGGCAAGGCAAACGAGTCCAGACATGAGGTGGGGACACGAAGAAAAGCAACTTGGACTGGAAGTGACACCTACAAGCAGGTGCACTGGCAGTGACAGCTTGCAACAAGTGCTTTTTTTTGGCACAAACAGCTTGCTCTCCCAGCCAATCCAGAAAAAAAATGAAGTTGTGAATTTTGCAACATGGGAGCTTACGTTTCAAGATGCTCTGCTCCTCAGCCAAAAAATCCTGCTCCAGTCGCCTCAATTCGTTTAGCTTATCTGCATTCAAAGGCGACAATTACGGCATAGTGTATAAGAATCGTAGACGCGGTCACCACATACCCCATGCTCCAGATTAGGCAAACACCACGAAAAGTGCGAGCTGACTTGGAGCTATGGACATTGCAACAACCAGAGCCCAAGCATTGATGCATCACCTTGCGTCGTACGCACTGTCGCCGAATCGCGCCGCGCGGCGTCGTGCTGCTTGGCGATCTGCTTATCAGCCAGTGTGCCCAGATCCCTCCTAAACTCGCGAAGGTCCCTGTCAAGCTGATCGACCTGTGCGTCACCAAGCATGTTGATCTTATCCTTTCCTGACGACGCCATTCGGAGGACAGATCGTGTTGAAATGCAATATGATTATTCAAGTTCGGATCTGTGGTATGCTACCTGTTTCCTTCAAGAAACACGATGCAGCAAACTACGCACTACCTTTGTCAACGAAATGGAGTCACATATCACTCCAACAAAGAAATACATAGTGGTCGCGATGCGAGATGACGGTTCGCTGTGTGCAGTGCAAGCAGGAGGAAGGCAAGATTGGTCTCCTTCCTGATGGATCGACGGTCGATTGTTTGTGGAAAAATCTAGGGTGTGGTGGTGTTTAGGGCGTGTCCAGCGCGCACGGACTGTTGCACTTCTGGTTACAATGTTGACTTGTCGCCACTGTCGCGCATCTTGCTGTGCGAGTTGTGCTGAGTGGCGGATTGTGTCCGTCCGCTCATTTCTAGACTCGGAAACGTCAATGGTACGCCAAACGGTACCATTTTGACTCGTAACCGCCCAAAGTGTACGTGCTGGACACGCCCTTATTGCGACAATTTTTACACTGGAGTTTCAAATTCGAGCAAAAACCTCGCACTGTAACCCTCCTCCACGACTTTCGCAACTTGCTGGACTGGCGAAATCCACCATTCAGCCGAACAACCCCCACTCTTGCTCTGGGCTCTCCAAATCTGAGAGCTTGATTTGGAGCGAAATTCACCGTTCACCCTTCAGCGGCAAGGCAGACATTCTAGGACACACCCTTCAGCCCTCTCAACTTCCTTGAATCGGTAGCTTCCTGAAAGCTTGATTGTCTGCTATTCTGCTTCGAATGCATAACATATACCTTTAGTGTCCAGCTGTACAGCTTGGTAATCCTGGTTGCATTCCCACTCTTGCATTCCTGACATCGTCGCCATGGATACATCTGGGTTCAACTTGACCCTAGGAAATGATACGGATGTCAGCGTCTTGACGCCGAATGCAAATGACACGGACGTTAGCATATTCACAACGGGAATGGTTCCGTGCGGTCAAATTCCCGTTCCGATGGCTCCCAAAGGCGCATCGTACATAGCTAGCGTCTCATTGCTGGTTCAGCTGGTTATGCTAGCAATCGCTCTTTTGGTGGGCCATGGTCTTAGACGGAAGAAGATTGTTGTAATCCCTGAAGCTGGCGCGGCTTTAGCCTTTGGTATGCCGAATAATGTGTGGTTGAGCTCTCGTGACTTTCTTTCCTGACAAACGTTGGTTTCTACAGGTGTGCTAGTAGGGTTGGTTGTGAAATTCCTTCGACATGGTTCGGAGTTCAGGTGAGTCAGCGTTCATAACTTTCATTCAATTCCAGTCATGCAAACTCCGACATATTGTGTGTTTGCAGGGAGTGGATTAACTTCAACAACAACTTCTTCTTCTACTTCTTGCTGCCACCGATAATATTATATCCTTTCACGTCGTCTGTGTCCGCCATTACCCCTTGGTCTCTTGCTCTCTTCGCCTTGCCCTCTAGACCTACGCACGCATGTCGTTCCTTGTCCACACTCAGGCTCCAAGTTTGGAGTCTCCAGTTGCTTTATATGTGACCACCCTTTTCTCAATTGTGTTCGCACGAAACCTGTTTTTCCTTAACCGTTTTGACCTTTCCACTGAGTCGGGATGGAGCTTGAAGACAGTAAGTTTGCGTAGCTAGCTTGTTACTTCTGCTGGCTGCCAGTCGCTTCGCTAACACGCATTTGCTGGTTCCAGAAACCATTCTTTAGCAACTTCGGGGCGATTTGTACCTTCGCATTCGCTGGGACGCTCATATCGACCTTGTTAGTGGGGTGCTTCATGTGAGCCCGTAAACTGCTCAGCATCAGCTTATTTGCCTTCTCTATTTTAGTATTTTCTCCTGAAACATTGATAATTTTTTCAATCAATCATTGAGTGAGGACTTGTTGATATTTCTGACAGGTACTTTGTTGGATTACTACATGCTGCTCACGCCATGCCTATTATGGTGTGCCTTGCCTTTGGAGCTCTGATATCAGCAACTGATCCTGTGTCGGTGCTTGCAGTTTTCCAGGTACAACTTTTCTCATTGCTACAATACGATCCTTGCGTTGCGGAAATACATTACGAGCGTTGTTGTGGCTTTGCAGCAATTGGGTGTAGACCGCACCCTCTACGCCCAAGTTTTTGGAGAATCTGTACTGAATGATGCAGTAAGTTGCACCTAAAGGGGATTGCGCGAATTTATGTATCAGAAGCTAATATTTTCTGTTTCTGTTGTTTTTGTAGGTTGCGATAGTTCTTTACAGGACCATGCTGTCATTTGTGACAACCAAGGTTGACGGCAGGGGAATATGGTTTGCTATTTCGTTTTTCTTGGCCAATTTTGTTGGTTCTTTCTCGATAGGTAAGAGTGTTTCACGTTGCCTCTCAATGTCGGCCTTTCTTTTGTTGGGGTGCTAAAGTTCATCTATTGTTCTTTGCGCAGGAGTGATATTGGGGCTGTTAAGTGCTCTTGTCTTCAAGCATTGCGGATTCGAAGATGATGGGTAAGAATTGCACATATCTTATGAAAAAAGCCAGTTTTTATTTCATGGGCCAGTATGTTGACCTATTGGTGCCACTTTGTGCAGTCTCGCTTTGCTGCAAGCCTCCCTGCTATCGCTATTCCCGTATATGGCATACATGCTTGCTGATGCTTTTGAATTGTCTGGAATCGTGGCCATCCTCTTTGCGGGAATGGTGAGTTTGTACATCTGCAAGCTTATCTCCTGAATGTCCACTGACTGTTTTCATGGTCCAGACAATGAGATACTACACAGCTCCGCATTTGAACGAGAAAGCGCTCGCCACTACAAGTAGCTTCTTCTCGATCCTTGCAAAGTTATCCGAAACCTTCGTGTATGGTTATTTCCATTGCGCGGTGTTCCATTTCTGTCAGCAAGCACTTGGGTTGAATACGTCTGTTCACACAGGTTTATATACATGGGAGTCGCTGTATTTCTGGAGAAACAAAGTTGGAGAAGCTACAGCTTTACCCTATATACTATTGTAAGGCGCATTCATCTCAGTTGTTTCTTTTGTCTGCTTCTCCTTGTTTTCTCTGACCTGACAAGGCGTGGTTGTGTTACAGCTTGCTATTCTTATTGCAAGGTATTTGTGTGTTTTCCTTATCGTACATGCTTTCAACCAGTTCATTATATCATCGTTGCTAAGAATTGTTTTTTTCTTGCAGGGTATTCAACATATATCCTCTCGCGTACATTGTCAATGCCTTCCGCCAGAAGCAAAGTAGAATACCAATGAATCATCAGCATGCATTGTGGTTTAGCGGTATGTCAGATTCAATACTTTGCACCGTGGGTTCGTTATTCTGCAACACGAAGCTGACATCTGTTGATGATACTCCAATCGTTGTTGCAGGGCTTCGTGGAGCCATGGCATTTGCACTCGCACTACAATCTATTACTGATCTTCCTGATGAATATGGTCGAGTTATTTTGACATCAACATTGCTAACAATTGCATTCACTGTAAGTTCAACTCTCTGAACTCGAAGCTTCCAGATTGCAATCCAGTTCGCTGATTTGGGGAGGCAATTACAGTGGCATGGTTCCAGTCAGGCCGGACTCAAAATATTTATCTTAATGGCATATAATGTGCAGGTATTGTTCATTGGTGGTGCAACATCCCACATGCTTTCATGGCTAAAGATTGAATGCAGCGGTGCCCGAAGTGAACATGATGATCAGGTAACCTGTCCCTCAGTTACTAACTAACTATGGGCTTATCAATCGTGGTTGATTCTAAAGATGCAAGTAAGTTTGCAGGATTCGCCGAATGAGGAGATATTGGTAGCTCAATTACCTGGAAAACCCCAGAGCAATTTAAAGAGGAAGTTTCAGCAGCTGAAGGAGAAGTAAGGCTAAAAGTTGTGTCAAGGACACCATTGATATGATTTCCTGATATATACCTCTTCTGCTGCAGGGCTAGCTTCGCTTCAATTGACAAGAACTTTTTGACCCCAGTATTTGCAACACCATCCCGCTCACATCCGCGTCTTGTGGAGCTCGATCAAAACATTACGCCTCCGCAAGCTCAACGTCCAAGTTCTTCTTCAGTTGATGGTGAGTTCTCTACTTGGTAACCAACTGCTCAACCATTGTATGTTGCAATATTACACTACCGCGTCTGCGAGTTTTTGTTGGATGTTGAACACACAATGCCTATCCTCATGCTGAGAAGATTTGTCTCGTGTGACGTTGGTTGTGCTTGCTTTATAATACTTCTGATATGATGCATATCGTTGGGTGCAGGAACAGAAAGGAGAGCAGTGGAGATTGAGCTCTCTCCGGTGGATGAGTTGTTTCCAATCGATGATGATAGTATGACTGTTCCCCTCACTACTGCGCTCTCATTGCCCCTGGAAGGAGGCCACCTCAGTAGGCGTGCTAGCGCTAATAGTCAGCAAGGAGGATGAGAATGATCTGCGTGCATAAGAAATTCAGGTGGACCATCACAACAATTTCTGCAGTGTGCATCAGTGTAAATCCATTGAAAGTGCCTGAGCATCTGTGGATTGTTCAATTTGTCTTGCTTACCCACAGCTTCTGTGCCATGTGGAAGTTCTGCAGATCACCTTATAGCTTACTAGTGTTCAATCCACATGCATTTCGCTTCGACAAGGCCATCAATGATCCTACTCATACTGCTGCAAGAAACCAGCCTCGCTGGTGTATGACAAGGAAACAGGTGTTGCAACAAGCCCTTGCCGGAGCAGGCTTAGTTATGATCCAAGTGCACAACATCGATTTCACACATCGCCAGCCTTGACAACCATAGTGTAGTTGCGGCGAGGGTCGAAGTATCGGCGGTAGATGAAGAAGCCACCACCGAGCAGCAGAGCAGCGAGTGCTGTGATGGCAATGAAGGCCAGCCAGCCCGTCAGCACTAATGGAGAGCCCTCCTGCTGCTCCTCCGCCTCAGCCTGAGCCACCAGCTGGATCTGAAAGGTGGCAAGAAGAGAATGAAGAAACACACTAAAATCACTAAATAAACAACCGCCACAAGAGGGAAGGAGGGGAAATACAGAGAGGATGTGGAATTAAAAGAGGAAAAAACGAGCACCTTAACTGCAGCTCCAATCACAACCCACCTCTGCAATCTTAGTAAGCGTGTCTTCCAGCTGATTCTCATTCACCAGCCCTCCCACGTGCCCTCCACTGCCGGCCACCACGCCCACCATCTGCCGGCACTGCTTATCCGAGATCTTAGTGAGAGGCGTGTCCACGAGGCACTGCCCAAACACCCCCACCACAGCGCCCTTGTGCTCGCTGAACCCCGCCACGTTGGTGCTGTTGCAGAGGGTGTCAATGTCAGTGTGGCAGGGCTTGGTGAGGGGCGCGTTGCTGTGGTACATCCACAGGGCGTTTCGCACCACATAGGTCACCTGGGAGTGGGGTTGGTGCAGAGGTGGGGAATGGGAAGGAGAATGGGGCATGGAGAGAGGGAGATTGGGGCAAGAGAGAAATGAGAACAGCTGATAGCAGGGTGGCATGGCTTGGTGAGCGGCGCGTTGCTGTGGTACATCCACAGGGCGTTGCGCACCACATAGGTCACCTGGGAGTGGGGTTGGTGCAGAGGTGGGGAATGGGAAGGAGAATGGGGCATGGAGAGAGGGAGATTGGGGCAAGAGAGAAATGAGAACAGCTGATAGCAGGGTGGCATGGCTTGGTGAGCGGCGCGTTGCTGTGGTACATCCACAGGGCGTTGTGCACCACATAGGTCACCTGGGCGTGGGGTTGGTGCGGAGAGGGGGAATTGGGAGGGGGATTGAGAACAGCTGAAAGCAGCGAGGCATGGCTTGCTGAGGGGTGCGTTGCTGTGGTACATCCACAGAGCATTGCGCACCACATAGGTCAGGTCACCTGGGAGTAGGTGGGGAATGGGGAGAGGGAGAAATGAGAACAGCGGATAGCAGTCCGGCATGGTTCCATGCTTCTAGTTTCGTTTGGAGGAGTGGTAGGCGGGGAACACACAAAACCAGTTGTAAGAATGAATGGTCAACCGCATCGGTCAGCTGCAAGCCTGCCTTTTCTCATATCTGACTAGCAGGATGGCTTGAGGGTCTGGTATGAGAGCAGGCAGCGCAGGATGGGTTCATACTCGCCCTCCTCTGCCTCCGCCATTGACATCTCAGCCTCCTCGTCATTTGAGGCTCCTCAAAACCCTACGGCATCACCCTTGTGCTTCTTCTCACCTCTGACTGGAAGGGCCCTTCTCCCTCAGACTAGAGAGGCCCTTCTCACGTGTAACAGGCAGGGCTCTTCTCACCTCCGACTGGCAGGCAGGCTTGAGAGTCTGGAACGACTGCAGCAGACAGCGCAGGATAGGCCCGTAGTCGCCCTCCGTCTCCTGCTCCCCCATTGACATCTCAGCCTCCTCGTCATTTGAGGCTCCTCAAAACCCTACGGCATCACCCTTGTGCTTCTTCTCACCTCTGACTGGAAGGGCCCTTCTCCCTCAGACTAGAGAGGCCCTTCTCACGTGTAACAGGCAGGGCTCTTCTCACCTCCGACTGGCAGGCAGGCTTGAGAGTCTGGAACGACTGCAGCAGACAGCGCAGGATAGGCCCGTAGTCGCCCTCCGTCTCCTGCTCCCCCATTGACATCTCCGCCGCCTCGTCCACCTCGCTGCACTTATCCGCCACGTCAGCATCGCACTGCAGCTGCAGCGCGATGTCGGTGCGGTAGTACTGCGACTGGCGCATGGTCTGCAGGTCCACCTCAGCACGGCAGGCTACACTCATGCCGGACTGACAATAAGGGAGGAGGGAGAGAGGGAAGGGTCGAAAGGGATGGGGGATGAGGAAAGCAATGCGCGATGGCGGTGCGGTGGTACTGCGACTGGCGCATGGACTGGAGATCCACCTCAGCACGGCACGCCACACTCATGCCGGACTGGAGAAGCTTGAAGGGGATGTGAATGGGAGGCAGGGGAAGGAGAAAGCAGTGAGCACATGTCTGTGTTGCACTGCAGTGCAGCTGCAAGGCAATGTCGGTGCAGTAGTACAGCAATTGGTGCGCGCAACTCGGGGTCGCACCGCAGCAGCAGAGCGATGTCGGTGCGGTAGCACTGGGATTGGCGCATGGTCTGCAGGTTGATCCCGGCACGGCATGCCACGCTCATGCCAGGCTGACGATAAACGAGAGGAGCAGGCACCGGAAGGCATGGCCACCCATGGAAAGGATGCACTAAAGACTGGTGGAATGCGCTGAACACTACAATACGTGTGAGGAAGCTTTACCTCCTGGATGTGCCACTGCAGGCAGCGGAAGGCATGGCCGCCCATGGGAGGCACTCCGCGGCAGAACTGGTGCAGCTCCAATCCACACGCGTTCATCAGCGTGGGCGTCAGGCGGATGTCCGATGCCTGGTGGCGGGGGAGCAAGGGGGGAAGGGAGGAAAGGGAAGAGAAAGAGAGGAGAGAGCGAGAGACAAGGCTATGGCACATGGATGGCAGAACTGGTGCAGCTCCAGGCCACACACGTTCATGAGCGTGGGGGTCAGACGGATGTCGGACGCCTGGTGGTGGGCGAGAGGGGAATGGGGAGGGGTCGAGAGGTGAAGGGAGAGGGAGGGAGAGCTATGGCTATGGAATATGGCAAAGCAAGTTCAGCTTCAAGCCAAATGCATGCTTCCATGAGTGTGGGGTTGAGGAAGATGAATCAGCAGGGGGGGGGGAGGTGGGAGGGATGAATGGCCAAGTCAACATATGATGTTTTGGTACGGTCACATGCGGTTGTGGTCCCTCCCCACATACCCCGGTCCCCGCCCCCACATTCACCCGCAAACGCACTGCACCGCTTTGCACCCACCTCCATGGCAGTGAACCGCAGCTCCTCCGCCTTGCACTTGGCTGACAGCTTCTTCCTGTTTTGGCGCAGGCAGGAGAGCGTGCGGCTGTGGTCCCTCCCCGAATACCCTGCCCCCACATATTCCATATCATACGCACAGAACCACACTGCACCGCACTGAACCGCTTTGCACCCACCTCCATGGCAGTGAACCGCAGCTCCTCCGCCTTGCACTTGGCTGACAGCTTCTTCCTGTTCTGCCGCAGGCAGGAGAGCGTGCGGCTGTGGTCCCTGCCCGCATACCCTGCCCCCGCGCCACAGTACATGTCCGCGTCGTCCTTGCATGCCTGCTGCAGTGGCACGTCCAAGGCTGGATCCTCCACGGTCCTGCGGTTACAGAGAGGGAAGGGATCAGGGAGGAGAGAAGCAGGGGTGGCAGGCATAAGAGCCACAGTACATGTCCGCATCGTCCTTGCACGCCTGCAAGACACCCACCCAGAGCTCTCCACCCGCGATCACTGCTCAGTCAAGCACTTGAGCACAATAAAGGCACACCACCATTCCTAGCACCATACCATACCTGCGCTCAAAATAGAACACCTCCTCACGGCACTCGGCGTTCTGCAGCTGAGACACCTTCTCAGACAGGCACTTGAGCACCGCCCCTCCAGCACGGCTGCCCCGCTACAAAAAGGTACAGCTCAGACCTGTATCTGGTTCGGAACGTACCTGCGCTCAAAGTAAAACACCTCCTCGCGGCACTCAGCGTTCTGCAGCTGAGACACCTTCTCAGACAGGCACTTGAGCACCGCCCCTCCACACGCCTGCCCCGCGGCCGCTGCTGCGGCAGCCATGGCGCCCTCGACGCCTGGAGGCGCGCAGGCGTTTATGCAGAGGTGCTGCACGTCCTCGAAGCATGCGTGGTTGAGGCGGAAGTTGAGGCGGAAATCTGCAAGGAGATGTCGAATACGGAGGAGAGGAGTGGTGAGGGGTGCTGAGTGGTGCACTGCACACGCGCTCAGGCAGAGGTGCTGCACGCCCTCAAAGCACGCGTGGTTGAGGCGAAATTGAGGCGGAAGTCTGGTTGGGGGGTTGGGGAAGAGAGGAAGCAAGGAGTTGAGACAGGGGTGTTGCGCAGGGAGGGAAGAGAGGTGGAGGGTCAAGTGGAAGGGGTAAGGGTGCCCCTCCCCCCGCAAGCCTGCTACCTCCCAGCCGCTGCTGCAGCAGCCTTGGCCCCCTCCACGTCTGGCGAGGCGCAGGCGTTGATGCAGAGGTGCTGACGCCCTTGACGCACGTGTGGTTCAGCCGGAAGTTAAGGCGGACCTGATGGGGGGAGAGGGGGGAAATGGGTTTGAGAGATAAAGAGGAGTGGTAAGGGGTGTGGGTGGTGCACTGCACACGCGTTCATGCAGAGATGCTGCACGTCCTCAAAGCACGCGTGGTTCAGGAGGAAATTTGGAAGGGGATTGGAGATGAGAAAGATGATTCAGACACAGAGGGGTGGTGCACAGGCGGCATGCAGAGGTACTGCGCAGACTCGAAGCAGGTGCATGTCAAACGGACGGGACGAAGAGCATGCTGCAAAGTGTACTGCTCCTGCTGCAATGGTCTTGAGAATGCTGTGCATGCTGCAACGGGGAGGAGTCGATCAACTCACCCTGTGCGCTGCGGTGCTCGTCCCTCTTGACCTCGTCGGCACATGCCTTGCCCATGTCCGCATCCGCCACATGGTCCTGCAGACACTTCACCATGTCGGGCGCTGTGTGCAGAGAGAGGGACACACAGACAGACACACAGAGAAGATACACACGTGGGCACATGAGCACAGAATATCAGCGCATATCTTGCCCATGCCCGCACCGCACCCGTGACATGGTCCTGCAGACACTTCACCATGTCGGGTGCTGTGTGAGCAGCGGGACAGAGAGACATGCACACACAGACAGACATACAAAAAGCGGAGCACACAGATTCACACAGTAAGAATCAGCGCCTGCGTGACCTTGCCCGTGTATGCGTCGGTCGAATGGCCCTGCAGACACTTCAAGTTGCTGTGTGAACAGAGAGACACACAGACAGTGACACACATGGATGGATGCACCATGCCCACTCACTTACACTCACTCAATCACTCACTCGCACCCACACTCACTCACTCACACTCACACCCACACTCACTCACTCACTCACACCCACTCACTCACTCACACTCACAGCTACACTCACAGTCACACACCCACACCCACACTCACACACACACACCTACACTCACACCCACACTCACACTCATTCCATGCAGCTCACCAGCGCTGACCTTCGCCTTCCCCTCACCTTTGGAGCACAGGCGCTTCATCTCGTCGGCACACGCCTGGCACATGGAAAACTTGAAGTCAGTGTCACTTATACTCAACTCACACCCACACTCACTCACACTCACACCCACACTCACTCACACTCACACCCACACTCTTTCCATGCAGCTCATCAGTGCTCACCTTCGCCACTCCCCCCCTCCTTACCTTTGGAGCAGAGGCGCTTCATCTCATCGGCACACGCCTGGCGCATGGCAAACTTGAAGTCAATGTCTCCTGCGTAGCGGATCTCCTGCAGAGATGAGGGATGGGATGAGGTGGGTGGGAGGAGGGGAGTGAGGTACGAGGGAAGGGTTGAGAGAAGGAGGGTGGTTGAAAGAGGGAGGGGGGTTGAAAGAGGGAGGGGGGTTGAAAGAGGGAGCGGGGTTGAAAGAGGGAAGGGGGTTGAAAAAACGAGGGAAATTGAAACAAGGAGGCGGGTTAAAAGAGGCAGGAGGGGTGTAAGAAGGAGGAAGGTGATTTGAACTTAAAGCGCAGCACCCACCTGGTCAAATAGAGCGGCGCGGCACACAGGGCGAAGGCCCTTGCGGTGGTCCTGCAGACACGTGAACACCACAATTCACTCCCTATACCCATCTCTCAACGCGCCGCATCCACCCACCTGGTCAAAGAGCGCAGCGCGGCACACGGGGCGCAGGTCCTTGCGGTGGTCCTGCAGGCACGTGAACACCCGTGCGTGGCCGCTCGGCACGTCCTTACACAGCTTCTCCTGGTCGGCTGGTAGAGAAGAGGGAGGAAGCAGGAGAGCAGCGAGAGCAGAGAGAAGGGAAGCATGGGAAGCAGAGCAGTGAATTCTCGTGCGTGGCTGCTAGGGACGTCCCTGCACAGCTTCTCCTGGTCGGCTGGTACAATGGGGAGAGGGAAGAGGGAGGAAACGGGGGAGACGAGAGAGCGTGCATTGGGAGCATGTGGCATGAGAGGAAAGAGGAGAGGGGGGAACGGTGAGATTTGCATGGATCAGTTCCCATGTGAGTAGGTAAGCGATTTTCAGACTAGAAACACATGGTCCTGGGTACAGGCGCGTTTCAAGACAGCTAAAAACACAAGAGAGGATGCTGGGATGAGGTGGTTCTGAATGGAAGGGCTCACGCTGGCAGGCGTCGTGCAGAGGGTGGTCGAATCGAATGTCCTCTGCTGCCCTCTTGGTGAGGCGGTGCACCTGATTGGGGGTAGTGGAGAGGGGGGGAGGGATGGGGAACGGTGAGAGTGGGAGGAAAGGGGGCGTGTTTAAGGCAGCTTCAGAAGCCGTGCAGAGGGTGGTCGAAGCGAATGTCCTCCGCAGCCTTCTTGGTGAGGCGATGCACCTGATGGGGAAGACAAGACAAGGGGGGTGGGGGGACGCAAAGCGAGGGTGTGTGGGGAGAGAACAACAAAGAGGAAGACAAGATGCAGAAACGAGGAGGCAGCGACGTAGGTGTGGTGCGCACTTGTGTGTATGGCCGTCTGTGCATGTGTGCATGTGTACGTGTGTGCTTGTGTGCATGGATATGCACCGGGGTTGGGAGCATGTGTGCAGTGCGTGCACTGGCATCGCGAGTCCTTGTGCTCCTCCTTGAAGTCCTGCAAGCACTCAATCACCTTGCTGTCGCTGCTGCTACCACCTGGCACCACCTTCCTGTCCCTATTGCTCACTGCTCTGGACCCCCTCGCCCCAACCCAAGTGCACCTGCTGGCGGCAGCGCGGGTCTTTGAGCTCCTCCTTGTAGTCCTGCAGGGACCCCATCACCTTGCTTGCTCTGCTGCTACCAGTGGCACCTGGGACCACCTTCCTGTCTCTATTGCTCACTGCTCTCGACCCCCTCCTTCATCAGCGCACCTGCTGGCGGCAGCGCGGATCTTTGAGCTCCTCCTTGTAGTCCTGCAGGCACTCCATCACCTTGCTGTCCCAGTTCGCCACGTCACTGATGTCCTCCGCGTCCGGGTAGCACGTCTGGAAAGAGAGCGCAACACGAGCATGAACAAAAAAGGCAGGCTTTATGAGGGAGGGAGAAAGTCTAAGGGAGAGAAAAGAGTTCAGCACGTGACTGATGCCCTCCGCGTGTGGTGTGGGTAACAGGTCTGGGAAGAGAGAGCAGCAAGAGGACAGTCAGAGAGAGGCACAGCGGGAAAGGCAGAGGGATCGGTTCGCCACGTCACTGATGGCCTCCGTGCCGGTAGCACGTCTGGTGCAGGCAGAAGGGAGGGATAGCGAGTGGGGCACAGCGAGCAGTTATTTTTACCACAATTAAAACCACTACTTTCACTCACCTCCACAATGTCCTTGTGGCAGTACTCGCTAAAGTCACAGTCACAAAGCTCACCTCCACGATGTCCTTGTGGCAGTACTCGCTAAAGTCACAGTCACAAAGCTCACCTCCACGATGTCCTTGTGGCAGTACTTGCGCAGACTGGCATCGAGTCGGAAGTCCACCGCCCTGCTGTGTGTGATGTGATGTGTGCCATGCAGCGTGCAGTGCACATGCACCTCGCTATAGTCACATCCACTACTCTCACCTCCACAATATCCTTGTGGCAGTACCTGCGCAGGCTGGCATCGAGGCGGAAGTCAACCACCCTACGCTGCATGCATGATGTGACGTGCACCGTACACCATGCGCCATACACCATGCGCCATACACCATGCGCCATACACCATGCGCCATACACCATGCGCCATACACCATGCGCCATACACCATGCGCCATACACCATGGGCCATACACCATGGGCCATACACCATGCGCCATACACCATGCGCCATACACCATGCGCCATACACCATGCGCCATACACCATGCGCCATACACCATGCGCCATACACCATGCGCCCCTGTCTCACCTCCACAATGTCCTTGTGGCAGTACTTGCGCAGGCTGGCATCGAGGCGGAAGTCCACCGCCCTGCGCTCCATCATCTTGTCAAACTCCGCCTTGCTGCATGTGTGTCATGTCACATGCAACATGCACCATGCACCATGCATGCACCACACACCATTCCATGCATGTATACCGCGTAGACAACACGTCACCATGCATGCCATTCACACCATGCATCACATAGAAACCATGCGTGGCATGATGCGTGCACACGATGTCAGCATGTCATCATGCATAGCACACCACGTCAGACTCACGCATTCACACAGAGCACATAGCAGCAGACACACAGGGTCAAAGGTGCATGTGTAAAGGCATGCTATCAGGTCACGGAGCGATTAGGATCAACTTGGTGCTCCTCAAGGGAGTCCTTCACCCTCGCATCCCCCCATCTCTGCCCCACCCATAACCCTCCCCCTGTCCCCACACCACACTTCATCCACCACTCACCAGGTCTTGGAGAACTCGGGTTCCGAGCGGTGCTCCTCCAGGCAGTCCTTCACGCGGGCATCCCCGGGCAGCACGTCCGGGCAGAAGCGCCGCTTGTCGTCCAGACAGGCTGGTAGCGCGCGCAGGTGAGGGGGAGAGGAATGGTAGGGCAGATGAGCGAGAGAGACAGATAATAGGGCAGGTGAGGGAGAGAGTGCTGGCAGAGAAGCAGAGGCACTGCAGACAAGGCATAAGGAGAAGCATAAGTGCCTTTCAACGAATGCAGCACATGCCGCCTTGTGAGGCACAGGCACTGCACAATGCGATGAATGGCATTCATTGCATGCTACTGCCTGCACTTGTTGAAACGCCCAGCAGCCCAGCATGCTCCGCATCTCAAATTCCTGTTTCCCTAATCTTCTAGTAACCCGTTTGCTAATACACCCGTCCTCTGATAAACCTGCATCCCTCAACCTTTCGTATGATTTTATGCCCCTCTCTCCCACCTCGGAAGAGGCGCACGTTGAGGCGGATGTCATCGGCGTTCTCCCCCTCCTGCCATATTACTCATGACAGCACACCCTTTGCATCCCATATTCCCTACTATCCCGTTCCCTTTGAACCCTTGTATTGGCCCTCATCCCGAGTTCCTATTCCCCCCACCTCGGAAGAGGCGCACGTTGAGCCGAATGTCATCCGCGTTCTCCACCTCCTGCCGGAACAGCTCCGCCTGGCACTCCCAGTTCAGCTTCTTGCGGTTGCGCCGCTGCAAGAAGGGGAGGAAGAAGAGAACGGGACGAATCGGTGGGGGGAAGATGTGGGCAGGCAAGGATTCGTCAAATGCGCCTTGGATAGGAGCAGAGCAGCTCCTCGTGGCACCCCTCCCCGCAATTCAGCTTCTTGCGGATGCGTCCCCACAGTAGGTGTCCGCGTCCTTGGAGCACAGCATGTTCAGCTGCAGATCCATGCGGAAATCGTCTGCTGCCGCCTCTCTTAGAGACCCACCAAGAGCTCTCCATTCACCCCTCAAGCAAAGCACTCACCAGGCACTCCTGAATGCGCCCCTCCCCCGCCTGCACGTCCCCACAGTAAGTATCGGCGTCCTTGGAGCAGAGCATGTTCAGCTGCGGGTCCATGCGGAAATCGTCCGCTGCGTCCTCCTGCGCCTCAAACACCATTATGGCGCACTGGTCCGACACACGCCCCGACTCCTTGCTCTCACTACATGGCAACGAGTGAAACGGGGGGGATGGGGTGGAAGAGTTTGAGTTGATGGAGTGGAAATCGTCTGCTGCGTCCTCCTGCACCTCGAACACCATTATAGCACACTGGTCCGACACCCGCACCGACTCCTTGCTCTCGCTGGTGTGGCATGGAGGGAGTAGGGGTGATGATGGGGTGGAAGAGAAGCGCTTGTGGTTCATGCCTCAAACACCATCACTTGGCATGCGTCCGAGACTTGCCCCGACTCCTTGCTCTCGCTGATGAGGCAGCAAAATAAAAGGGGAAGATGGAGAGACGACAATTAAAGAACGGCCCCAAGCAACATCATTGCGCACTGGTCTGACACACATCCCGACTCCTTGCTCTCGCTGATGTGGCACAACGGGAAAAGAAGCCGGAGGTTTTGAAGAATACCCTGTTCATGGCTCAAGCACCATCGCTATGCTTGTCTCCAACACACGCTCCAACTGCTTGTTCTTGCTGAACTGGCACGAGAGCGATTGGAGAGAGACAAGGAGTTGCCTGGAAACAGAAGGCAAGGAAGGTTCGTTTTCATGCCTCAAACACCATCACAGCATAACCCAAAAACAGAGCGTGCCGTTGTCCTCATACCTGTGATCCACTTGGCGTTACATATCCCTTACCATACCAACTACTTGCACCAACTTACCGCAGGCATGCGAGCACATTGCCAGGCTCGGGGTAGAGGAAGTCGTCATCACAGAAGGATGCAATGTCCTCCTTGCACGCCTCCACTGGTGGGTGGGTGGGGAAGGAGAGGAGATTCGAGAAAGGGCTGAATGTGAGATTAATGACTGGTGAGTCAGGAATCATCACAGAAGGATGCGATGTCCTCATTGCACGCCTCCACTAGTGGTGGGTGGGCGCAGACGGGGTGGGAGAACGGGGCGGATGGGAGAGCTGTGAGGTGGGAATCATCACAGAAGGATGCGATGTCCCTCTCCTTGCACACCTCCACTCATGGGTGGGGAAGGTGGGATATGAGATGAGACGTAAGAGTGGCAAGTGAGGAATAATCACAGAAGGATGTGATGTCCTCCCTCCTTGCACACCTCCACTCACGGGTGCAGAGCAGAAGGGAGGGGGAACGGGGTGAAGAGGAGAGTAGTGAGTCAGGAGAGGCGGCAAAAAGCTGTGCAATGCCCTTCTGACGTGCAACGCACGCACATAGACACCGCACACCCCACCCACACCCAGCACCCATCTCCTTGTTCATGCTGAAGTCGTTGAAGCTGCTGCCTTTCTGTGGTAGGCAGACACACCCCATGCACACACATGCACACTCCCACTCGCCACACCCACTACTCACCCATCTCCTTGTTCATGCTGATGTCCTTGTACAGCGCGATCTTGAAGTTGCGGATCTCCAGCAAACACTCCGCGCTGAACTCGGGGTTCGCTGCACGAGACATGCGGATGATGCGAAGATGGTGCAAGGGGTGATGCACACGGTTAGTCAAGCGGAGATGCATGTACATGTGTGTTGCGGTGCAGCGCATAGTGCATATAGGAGGAGTGATTATGAGCACAGGCTCGGTGCATGGTACACGTGATATTAGCAATGCCATTCCCCTCATGCCGTTCTCTTCCCCCCTTCAGCCCCCACCCCCTTTCACCAAGCTGCCACCTTTCCCTTTCTCTTCATGCCCTCCCCCCACCTTGGCCAAGCCCTCACCTTTCATCACTGCCCCCTCTTTCACCAACGTGATCTGCAATCTCAGACGTCGCTCCAGAGAGCGGTTGCTCTCACTCATGCGACGCACCCCCAACATCTCACCTTCACCAGCATCTCACCTTCACCAGCATCTCACCTTCACCCGCATCTCACCTTCACCCGCATCTCACCTTCACCCGCATCTCACCTTCACCCGCATCTCACCTTCACCCGCATCTCACCTTCACCCGCATCTCACCTTCACCCGCATCTCACCTTCACCAGCATCTCACCTTCACCAGCATCTCACCTTCACCAGCATCTCACCTTCACCAGCATCTCACCTTCACCCGCATCTCACCTTCACCCGCATCTCACCTTTACCCGCATCTCACCTTCACCCGCATCTCACCTTCACCCGCATCTCACCTTCACCCGCATCTCACCTTCACCCGCATCTCACCTTCACCAGCATCTCACCTTCACCAGCATCTCACCTTCACCCGCATCTCACCTTCACCAGCATCTCACCTTCACCCGCATCTCACCTTCACCCGCATCTCACCTTCACCCGCATCTCACCTTCACCCGCATCTCACCTTCACCCGCATCTCACCTTCACCAGCATCTCACCTTCACCCGCATCTCACCTTCACCCGCATCTCACCTTCACCCGCATCTCACCTTCACCCGCATCTCACCTTCACCCGCATCTCACCTTCACCCGCATCTCACCTTCACCCGCATCTCACCTTCACCAGCATCTCACCTTCACCCGCATCTCACCTTCACCCGCATCTCACCTTCACCCGCATCTCACCTTCACCCGCATCTCACCTTCACCAGCATCTCACCTTTCACTTTCCCCGCCATCACCATCTTGACTTGGGTGCTCAGGCATCGCTCTAGAGAGCGGTTGCCCGTCGGTAGGTCCGAACAGTACGCTGTTATCTCCGCCTTACACGCTCCTGCACGGGAACAGGGAAAACAAAAGCAGAAACATGTTTGCTTTTTGAGAACCCTCTACCCAAGCGCTCCAGAAAGGGGTTGCCTGTGAGGAGGTCGCTGCGACAGAACTCTTATTTCTGCCTCACACGCTCCTTGTGAAGGGAAGACAATGGAAGAGAGGGTCTGGGAGGAGAGGGGGGGAAAAGGGGGGAAGGGGGGGTGTTGGGGGGGAGAGGGAGAAGAAGGGGGGAGATGGGGGAAGAAGAGAACATGTGGTGCGGCAAGCCACAGGAAGCATGGAACTCGCGCAGAAGAGAACCCACCTTGCGGCACGATATCGCCCGCCTCCTTCTCTGCTTTGACCACGGGGTTGTCGGCTGCTGGCTGAGTGGCGTTCGCCTTGTCCGCTGTCTGCACGCACGTATGCCGCGGGAGCAGCGCACCCACTTACCTTGCAACACATCTACGCACCTTGAGGCACGATATCGCCTGCCTCCTTCTCTGCTTTGACCACGGGGTCGTCGGCTGCTGGCTGCGTGGCGTTCGCCTTGTCCGCTGCCTGCACGCATGTATGCCGCGCGAGCAGCACCGCCAGCAGCAGCAGTAGGGGACGGAAGGAACTCCGCCAATGTGTAGCCATGGTTGCTGCTGGGCGGAGAACCGGGAGGGTGCGGGTGGAAGGACGAGCGGAGGGAGAGAGGAAGGGGTGGCTGGAGAAAAAGCCGGACAACCATTAGAGAGAATTGCGAAGCAGCATGGGCCGGAAGGAGCCGCGCCAACGGCTAGCCATCGCAGTAGCTGGACGGAAGTAAGACGAGAATTGCACGGAAAAGGGATGGTAAGGGAAGTGCCCTTTGGGTACCAGCGCAAGCGAATCCCGTTACTACTCGTCTGCTATTCGACAATGCATCAGATTTCAGCACATGGGCCATCGAACTCGATAGCTACATCGGAGTTCGAAAACAGCTAGTTAGGAGTCATCTTTCTAGATAGTATTCAGTCACAAACCCAAGAGCTCTCAGTTTGCAGCCAGGCTCCCCTGTTCATTCGGTGTGGTCTGACGAAGTGCAGTGCGGTTAGAAAGGAGGTGACTTGCGAGCACTGTCTGTGCGATGGTAACGTCACGTACACTGTACGCGCGAGGTCTTGTGCACTCGGTTTGATTCGCTGCTTACGGGCAAGTCACTAGCTAGGCTAACGGGAATCAGAAACCATGGCGGGTCGAACGGATCTTACGATACTCTAAGCTGCGAGGCTGGTGAACTGTTGCCGAATCTCAGAAAATGGTTGGAAATAGAATGAAGTGAAGGTAGAGATTCGATGGTCGGGACGGTGAATAATACGAATTGGATCGTGCTCTCGATAGGGACTGCTGAACGGCGTGGTTTGAATTTAAGACAGCAATCTCATTCTTGCTCTTCATGAAACAAGTTCTCCTCTTTCAATAGATAATTCGCGTCCGGGTGAATAATCGGCGTAACACGTCGTTTCTCCTCATCCCAAGGAGGGGTAACTGATGAACTCCGCGTATAGCTGACTGACACTAATCTATTTTCCACTCCAGATAGAGATCATGTCGGCGTCACGCACTCACCTTGCAATAGCGCCGCGAGGCTCGCAACAGCGGACCACGTTAAACTCTAAGAAGGCCGGCAAGCCGTCCTCGTGGAACCTTTTAGGCACCTGCCTGAGGATGCACCACAAGTCTTGTGTTTCCAGGCTTGCTTGTTTGGTGAAATCTAGGTTTGCTGGTGATGCAACTTCCAAATGGCAGCAGGTGATCAAGTGGTGCAGGCCACAAGGGGTGATCAAGTGGTGCAGGCCACAAGGTAAGTGTGCGCTAATAGCTGCTCCGATCCCTTGTACACTGAGAATGATACTACCTGATTGATCTGTTTCGGGAAGTGCTTTCTACAGGTATCAGCGGTCAGAAACTGCTGGGGGTCAAGCATCGCGCATTTCGAGGCGCACATAGATTCAACTAGCCACCGCATTTGAGGCTCTTCAGAACACGCCCTAGTCTAAGTTGTCTTTCCGCCAATCATAGCAGAGCTCTGACGCACCTCAACCCATCCTTTGTAGACTGTCCCAACATTTGTCTGAAAATCTGGAATCTGGTACTTCGAGTGTTGTAGAACCTCTTCTAATACTCGTGTGCCCCTAAGTCACACATGTTATATCTCAACTTTTGAAACTTGTATCTCTTCTCCATAAATTTACCATCCATGCTGCGTAGTGCACCTGCCTATTGCAACTATTAGTACAAAGCTGGTATACTTTGCTGATGTCACATCGATTGACACATGATCCCATTGTGCCCATAATCACAACTCCAGCTAAACTACTGTGTATGCTTGTGGAGTGGACAGAAAACGACCAGACACACATGTACGTAGCTTAAGAAGGAACATCCAGCTGCACCTGTCAAGTACTTCTAAGGAAAGTGGGGAGGCACTAGTAGATCGTTGAGGGAGATTCTGGGCTGCTCCTTGTACATGTCACTTACTGAAAACGGGATGCTGACATGTGAAAGGTGAGGACGAGAGGGTAGGACACAGAGACCAAGTGGAGAGGATATTGTTGGGCCGTAAAGCATCTTTGGAACAACAGCAGTAGCGAGAAAAACAAGGTCAGCAAGCAATAGCACAAACGCAACAAAACAGGGACAGCTGGAGCATCACTCACCGACGGTCAGTATCAAGGAGGAAGGCATCGGTGTCATAACGAGCAACCTCTTTCTTGCACTTCTCATGAATGGCCTCCAGCATTTCACGTGTCACAAAGGTGGCACTGTGATAGCTAGCGGGGATCATGCCACCGATGCGGTAGAGATGTCGCATGCTTAAAGCAGGGAACTGCAAATGTATTTCTTCCAGTGTCATCTCAGATTTTTCAGGAAGGACCTGTCAGTTGGAACAGGTTGGGGCACGAGAGGGTTGGTACAATACAGAAAGGACAGCAAAACATGGTTAAAGAACAAAAATAGCGAAAAATATAATGCAAAGTCTAAGGTGAAAAAGGGGAATGCCTGCCAGCCAGCATCCACATCAGTGGCAGGTGTTGGGGAAGCAGAGAGTGGCAGCGATTGGCACGTACGATGAACTCCACAGCATGCCTGATGTGCTGCAGCTGGTCCCATGCGCCACCTGCATACACGTCAGTGGCGGCAGCGGTCCACCGCTGCAGCTCCGTCAACCCCTCCTTGAAATACGCGTCGACGAAATGTAAGTTGCAGCAGTGACGATAAAGCAAAACACAGGAAAGATCAGGAGCAGCAACAAGCCCGAATCAAAAGGGGGAGGGAGGATGGGGGGGATTGAGAGAGACCCAAAGGGATTGTGGATGGGGAAGGTTGGGTTTCACAGCATGGGTTTGGTTAAACAGAGGCTAACGGAGAGACATGTCAAAGGAGATAACAGAATGCCAGATGTTGGTTCTATACACGGGTATGCAAGAAGCTGAACAAGCACACTTACACAGTAAACAGCTATACATGTATGCAGCGCAAGCAGCTTCAACTCAAAGGCAGCCAAAATCACAAGCACCTTGATTTCTCAAGCAGCCAGAATACGCAAGCAGCCAAATTTTGCAGCGGGATGCTACAACTGACCGGTTAAAGAGCTCGGCGTTGACGAGTGCATAGATTTGTCGGAAGAGGCTCCTGACGAGGAAGGTGGGCACGTGGTTGAGCTTCAGAAAGTTGAGCATAGCTGAGAGCTTCATGGTTATAACGTTCCACCGTGCTTCTGCTGCTGGTATTGAGATCGCCTGGCTTTGTGCTGCTGCTCGCAGGTTTTGCTGATTTGAATTCCTAAGAATACGAGTACTGGCCTGAAGAGGTGAGCATGGGAAGCCAATAGAAAGACAATAAAGATGGGAAGATCGTATGAAGCATGAATTTCCTCCCCCCTTCCCATACAAACATGCACATACACATCCACACGCACACATGCACGCATGCATTCACAAACAACAGCCAAACACATATCCACACAGATACATACACATCCACACACACACACACACACACACACGCACGCACGCACACACACACACACACACACACACACACACACACACACAAACACACACACACACAAACGCGCATCAACACACTCTTACAACAGTATGCATACCCATACCTCGTAGCCAGCAACCAGTATCGGTGAAACGTCGTTCCTGAGATTGTTTACGAAGAACAGATACACCTTTTCCATGTACGCTGCTAGCTCTTTCCCGAAGAGCAGAGCTGGAAACGTGGGTTTTACCAGCTGCACCCCATCAGCCTTCGCTGCAGCTATCTCGTCCTCAGATGGGACAGTTGGGCTGAAAATTGCCTGCAAGAAAGTAAAGATTGAGGTGTTTGACGAACACTTGATTAAGGCAAGCCAATCGAGGGGTTGCTATCAGGAAGATTGGGATTGGAGTAAGCGTATTGATGGAAATACACTGAGCGACAATGATGTCCCTATCTTCGCTCAACTTAACATACCGTCCCAACACCCAATCCCCTGAATTTCCTCTCCTTCGCAAATGGCACCTGATGCAAGGGAGAAAAAAAAAACGTTCACAAATTGCTGCCGCTTCCTCTGCACACATACCTTCCGAAATGCCGCCATTTCCCGTGGAACTTTATCAGTCTTGAAAGATCTCATGAGCAGAAGCAGCAGAGAAGCTGCGTTCGTCAGCCAATACGCCAGCTTGTCAATACTCCCCGCTGCGTCTTCATCTTTCCCGGCACCAGATCTCGCAGCCTCAGGCTGAGCGTCAGGAGCCACGCCGGCATCCGCACCAGGAGCAGCAGATGGATCCTGAGCGCCAATGGCAGCCCTCATGATCCCCATAATCTTGTCAAACACATCTGTAGACTCTGTTTCGAAGGAGCGCCAGTGCACGAGAGCATTGTACATCACACATGCTGATACAGGGAGTTCGCCGTCAAAACCTAGATCCGTCTGGAACAGCTGCAGCAGTCTGTCTTGATCCAGCCGGGCGTCGCGGGGCTGAGAGGCGGGACAAGGGGGAAGGACAGAAGGGTGGAGAGATCTAGGGATGATAAGAGTGGGAAAACGGAAGGCGATGCAGGTGAAACAGATGGGCGGAGGTAATCGGAGTTAAAATAGGACAGTTCAAGGAAAAGGAAAAGGAAAAAAACAATAGTCCGCTTATTTGTAAGCTCACCTGCACCTCCTCGGTTATAGTGTGCCTTCTCGGTACTTCACTTGCAGCACCGCGGGCAGGGCCGCGAAGGATGTCAGGAGAGGCAGGACTGCAAACAATTACTTCAGCATCGATAACGTCGTCTGCCAGGCGCGACCCCACAGATGAGGATTGCATACGCTGCCTCCTCCTCGCGAGCAGATCGGACATCATTCTCTCTTTTATCTCCTGCAGCTCGTCCGCTGGCAAGCGGTTAAACAAGGCGGAATCTAGTAGCTCAAAGAACGTAGATACTTCTTCGTCGCGAGCATCCATTTTTTGCTAGTGGAACCACCCAAAAATGCGACTTCACGACTTGGCGTCCGAAAAGATGGATTTGCGATGAGGCATCTACCGCTCTGGAGTGGCGAAGTTCTATCTAGATTGTGAGGTGATATCGGGACAGTCTCTAGACTTTGAGACACAGTCCGCAACTTTCCTCGCATTGTGAAGGACTACTACCAGTATATCTGAATAGCCAATAAGGTGGTGGTATTGAAAAGATCAGCTCTGTCCGTGTGAGCCTTTCGAAGGGCCACGTGTCCAAGCTGTACACAGATTCCTGCATTGCACAAGCTAGTTAGATTCCTGCTTTTGATGATACCGAGCTGGCTAGCCCTGACGGTTTGCTCACAAAAAATGATTTGGAGAAGGCCGAACAACAATCGAGGCTGTACCTGCGTGACTCTGACAGCAAGCTGCCTGGATTTCGAAATAGGAAGATCTCAAGGCTAACGCGTTAGAAGCATACCGTTAATTTCGTCTGCTGCAAACGGATGCGTCTGTTTGTAGTTCCGAATATCCTCCCTTCCTGGGTGCAGCAGCTGAGGGCGGTTTCCTGGTTTCCACGTCACGAGGTAACCGACTCGCAAAATAATTCGAGGGGCACACAGCTTTGTTCATTTTCCCGGACTTTCCTTGCACCCATAGGCGAAGCGCATGAACAAGTGGGTAGACAACCGTCGCCAATATCGTGAATCGTGTCGCTTAATTTGGTGAGGATTTTTTCTGGAATATTGTCTCGCGATTTCGCAAGGTGTAGGTTCGCGAACACCCCCCTGAATCCTCGCTTGTTTGTACCTGACACCCACATCAGGTACGTTTGTTTCTTGTACATGCTTCCAGAGCCAGAAATCGCCAGGAACCCCTTTTCTCACCTCATGAAACAGGGCTACAGCGCAGCGACGCACGACGCGGCTGGCCTGGCCGGCCTAGCGAGGAGAGAGCGGCGCCGTAGCTAGAAGAAAGAAGAGTAGAGTCTTGCAGCGGAAGAACTAGTAAGAAGTAGAAGGTGGGATCCGAGATGGCAAGAGGGTAGTAGAACGAGAAGATTCTGAGATTAGAACTGGATTAGAAGATGATAGGATGATACAAGAAGAATCAGAGAGGAATATTTATCCTAGGAGAAGAGAGGTGCGACTCGGATAGGAATATCGTGTCGCCATTCAATCTAGCATAGCATCTCGACATCACGCCTCGATGCTATGCTCTGCTGTATTATTCTTCCTGACAGGGATAATTGGATTCGCTTGAGGCTAGCAAGTGTTGCTGTTCGTAGCTAGCTAGGCAAGGACCCGTTCGGAAATTCCCATGCATCTCGCATGGTGAATTCCGTCCTGTTACACCTCATACTTGGCTTCTCCCGCCTATCTGAGCAACGCGCTGACAATTCCTGTTTCACCGGGCTCCGTTTCTCGTGTCTTCCCATCGTCCCTTCTTCCGCCGTTTCCAATTTGTTAACAGAAAGTAGCAAGTGTCACTGTCTGATGGGAAGAGTCGCATTCGACGACTCCCAAGCGCAGAGAATGGGCGAGGCCTCCCCCGCAGAGTCCACGCCTGCGCAAAGCGCTTCTTCCGCCGACCCCAGCGCGCCGTCCGACGGGGCTGGGCACCCAGCGGCGATGGCGGAAGCGGCGGAAGACCTGTCGGACCTGCTCATTCAGGTGCGCAAACAAGTTTTCTATCCAATTCCCAAAGATCTAGCATATTTCACGCGCAAAACTCGTCTCACCCCCCTCCCGCACAGTTTCTCCCCTCCGTTTCCCCACTTCCCACTGCTGCCCCCATCCCCGTCCCTTCGTCTCAACATTCCGCGACCCTCTTTTGACGCCCTTTATTCCTCTCTTTCGCTCTTCTTTTCGTCATTGCATCTGCAAAAACCACCTCTCAACTTCGGTCTCCCCTCTCCACCGTGTCCTCCCCTCGCCTCCTCCCCATCTCCCCTCTTTTCTCCCCCCCCCACGTGCAGGGGGCGAGGTACGGGGACATGGAGGACGTGGCAGCAGCGCTGGACGGGGGAGCGGATGCTGGCGTGGCGGACGATGAGGGGCGCACAGGTTGGGGGGAGGGGGGAAAGAGGGGCGTACAGGTGGGGGAGGGGAGGGGAGGTAATGGGGGCCGCACAGCTCGGAAGGTGGGGGTGAGGGGCGCAGGGAGGGGATGAGGAGCGCACAGATGGGGAGGGGATTAGGAGCGCACAGGTGGGGAGGGGATGAGGAGCGCACAGGTGGGGAGGGGATGAGGAGCGCACAGGTGGGGAGGGGATGAGGAGCGCACAGGTGGGGGTTGAATGAGGGGCGCGCAGGCGGGGGACGGGATGAGTGCTGCGCAGGTGTGGCTTAAGGTTGCACGCACGCACTAAATGGGGTTTTTTTTAATCTGGGTGCTTAAAATTAAGGGGGCCAAAGCCAAGCTGGGTGCGTAGATTTGAAATCCTCCACACCCATCCCCCAACCCCCACATTGCCTCTTCCGTTTTCTTCACAGTTTGCCATGCGCACATGCAGCGCTGCACTTCCCCCCAACCCCTCCATGTGCCATGCGTGCATACATGGCATAACCCTTTCCCATGCCCCCTCCCTGTGCCACGCATGAATGCAAGTGTGCATCACTGCACATGGCATAACCCATTCCCTGCACCCCCTTCCTGTGACATGCGTGCATGCATGTGTGCAGCGCTGCACATGGCAGCAGCCAACGGCCACACAGAGATCGCCCGTCTGCTCATCCAACGAGGCGCTGTGAGTGCCTCCCACTTCCACTGCCCGTCTTGTCCCACCTGCCCTCCCTCACCCACCTTCCCTTCCCCCGGCCGCCTTGCTCCACCCGCCTTGTCCCAACCCCTTGCCCCACCCCCGCTCCTTCTTTGCTGTTCGTTCTGCCTCTCCCCAGCGTGAGCCTTATGCCCCTCCCGTCTGTGCCCCTTACCATGCTCTACCTACCATGTGCACCCTGCGCCCCTTGTGCCTTCCACCCGGTCCCTCAGCCCGTGAACGCAGTGAACCGGCAGTGCAACACACCACTGCACTGGGCGGCTGTCAATGGCAGGGACTCGGTGAGTGTTGAGGAGACCATGTGGTTTCGGGGATGGGTGCAGGGGGGAATGGGAGGGAGTTCGTGACAGGGGCAGGTGGGAGAATGGGTAGGTGGGAGCATGGACAGGTGGGAGTAGCGGCAGAGCATGGGCAGGTGGGAGCATGGACAGGTGGGAGTAGCGGCAGAGCATGGGCAGGTGGGAGCAGGGGCAGGTGGGAGCATGGGCAGGTGGGAGCAGGGGCAGGTGGGAGAATGGGCAGGTGGGAGCATGGACAGGTGGGAGTAGCGGCAGAGCATGGGCAGGTGGGAGCATGGACAGGTGGGAGTAGGGGCAGAGCATGGGCAGGTGGGAGCAGGGGCAGGTGGGAGCATGGGCAGGTGGGAGCATGGACAGGTGGTGCTTCAGCGAGAGAAACTGTTTGTGTTCTGTACACCAACGACAGTGGAACCCGCTCCTTGTGTTGCACAGTGCATACATCGTCACCATCGCACATCTCTCTGGTTGGTTGCAGATTTTGAGTTCCTGTTTGACAGCAGTGCTTCGATGCCTAAAAAAAGATGCCATTCGTCCTTTTCCCCTGGCCCACCCCACCCCAACCCACCCTATCCCACCCCACCCCACCCCACTCCACCCCACTCCACCTCATTCCACCCCACTCCACCCCACGACTTCCTCACCAACCCCATCAGATGGTGCATCTGCTTATTGCTTCTGGACCCAGCCACTCCGCCATTCGACCTCAAAATGCCCCTCACAACCCCCACACACACGCAATCCACCCACCCCACTCCACCGCACCCCACCCCCTTCCCCAACCCATCAGATGGTGCATTTGCTCATTGCTTCTGGAGCCAGCCCCTCCGCCCTCAACAGGTAACCCCCTTCCGCCTCTCACTCTCCTCACACCTCCCCGCCTGCTGCTCACTCCCACTGCTGCTAGCTACATCCAATGCTGCTTCCTGCTACCCATCCCCAATCGCTGTAACCATGCAGTCCTCTTGTGTTGATGGGGTAAAAGCCTATCATACCACCTGCCGTTCTGTCACGGGCTGCGAGCATGCGCGGAACATGACAGCCCTCCCACCTGCCGCTCTCCATTTCGTGGTTCCCCTATCTTCCTTCCTATCCCCTCAGCCTGCCTTCCCTAGATCTCCATTCCCATCCATCCAGCCACAACCGCACGCCAGTGGATGAGGCGATTCACAGCAACAACCAGCTCACCCCAGTCACCATCAACGTTTCCCCTCCCACATGCCCTCCTGAACTTCGTGTTTTCACCTTCCCCCACAACCCCCATCCCCAATCCCCAGCCACAAGCGCACCCCAGGGACGAGGCGATTCACAGCAACAATCGGCACACCCTAGGCGCTATTCCCGCCGCCCCTTGCAACTTCCCTTCTCACCTTTGTGTTATCACCTCTCCCACAACCCGCACCTCTTATTTCCAGCCACGAGCGCACGCCAGTGGACGAGGCGATTCACAGCAACAACCAGCTCACCCTAGACGCCATCAACACTGCCGTTGCCACGCGGGATGCTGCGAGCTTGACTGTCGCGGGCAGTCACGGCGACGACACAGGGGACGATGGCGATGGGGGAGATGAAGCCACGGATATCATGGAGTGAAGGGTTGTGTCTCTTAGTAAGTTGGTGAGTCGACTGAAGAATCAGCACACCCAGACGCCATCAATGTCGCCCTTAGCCCCTTTGGATGCTCGGAGCTTGGCTGTAGCAGGCAGTCAAGGGGGTGACCTGGAGGGCACTGGGGATGGCGGAGGTGCAGGCAGCAGAGATTATGGAGCGATGTTCTTCGGGGGGGGATTCTGAGGGGTTGGTTGAAAGATTAGCACACTCTAGATGCTACTCGGGATGCTGTGAGCTTGACTGTAGGAGGCAGTCAAGGGGGTGACACAGGGGACGATGGGGATGGGGAAGGCGCAGCACCGGAGATTACGGAATGAATGGGTTTCCATTGGGTTTTCTTCTTGGCAGCTCGGAAGAGAGCTTGGAGCAGAGAGGATTTGAAGCTGATGTGGTGATGCAGTGGATGAGGCGACTCACAGCAACAGTCAGCACACCCCAGTCACCATCAACGCATTCCCTCCCACATGCCCTTCTGAACTTCGTGTTTTCACCTTTCCCACCACTCCCATCCCCACTCCCCAGCCACAAGCGCACCCCAGTGGACGAGGCAATTTCACAGCAACAATCAGCACACCCTAGGCACTATTTCCGCCGCGCCTTGCAACTTCCCTTCTCAACTTCGTGCTATCACCTCTCCCACAACCTTCTAATTCCCAGCCATGAGCGCACCCCAGTGGATGAGGCAATTCACAGCAACAACCAGCACATGCTAGACGCCATCAATGCCGCCCATCCCTCCTGCCCTTCTCAGCACCATCTTCTCCTCCCGATCTTCCATTCCCAACCCCCAACCCCCATCCCCATCCCCAATTCCCAGCCACGAGCGCACGCCAGTGGATGGGGCGATTCACAGCAACAGCCAGCGCACCTTAGAGGCCATTGGTGCCGCCCCTCCCTCCTGCCCGTTTCAACTTTGTGTTCTCCATCCCCCACAACCCTCATCCCCAATCCCCAATCCCCAGCCACGAGCGCACGCCAGTGGATGAGGCGATTCACAGCAAAAACCAGCTCACTTTAGACGCCATCAACACTGCCGTTGCCACGCGGGATGCTGCGAGCTTGACTGTCGCGGGCAGTCACAACGACGACACAGGGGGCGATGGAGATGGGGGAGATGAAGCCACGGATATCATGGAGTGAAGGGTTGTGTCTCTTAGTAAGTTGGTGAGTCGACTGAAAAAATCAGCACACCCCAGACGCCATCTGTGTCGCCCTTGCCCCTTGGGATGCTCGGGGCTTGACTGTAGCAGGCAGTCAAGGGGGTGACCTGGAGGGCAATGGGGATTGGGGAGGCGCAGGCAGCAGTGATTATGGAGCGATGTTTTTCGGGGGGAAATATTGAGGGGCTGATTGAAAGGTTAGCACAATTTAGATGCTACTGGGGATGCTCGGAGCTTGACTGTAGGAGGCAGTCAAGGGGATGACACAGGGGACGATGGGGATGGGGGAGGTGCAGCAGCGGAGATTACGGAATGAATGGGTTTCCATTGTGGTTTCTTCTTGGCAGCTCGGAAGAGAGCTTGGAGCAGAGAGGATTTGAAGTTGATGCGGTGATGCGGGTGCATGGCAAGCAGGTGATGCAGGAGGCTCCCCGCCCTTGTCAGTAAAGAGGCTGCTGTTGCCTGCTGACACCTGCTGCTGACCCCACGGGAGCAGTGACCGCATGTCTGGTGTAGTGAGGTTGAGATGTACATGTCGCAACTGTACAGGCAATTATTATTTGTCAGCTCAGCGCATGCACCTGGGTTTTGCAAGCATTTCAACCTCCACCCTGTCCACTTCAGTCAAATGTGACAAAACTCGTGATCACAGCTGTCTAGGTGTCTCAGAAGGCACATTTTCAAACAGAACATAAAGTAGCGTACCGTATTTGATTCTGAAAGAGACACACTGCAGCACATTATGTACTATGCGACCCTAACACTCTTACAATGCCTCCTCTTGACTCTCCATGCTTATGCAGGGAGAGATGTGAAAAAGTGCACTGGAGTGGATGCTATGCTACACTACAGCTTTGCCATTCTTCAGCTTCTTTCCACAGGCACCATCAGCAGTACTCTCCTCCAACTTCCTCCCTCCCCTTCCCTCCTGCTGCGGAAGCTCCTGCAGCATTAGAACACTCAACAGGTGGTGTTGCTGCTGCAGCAGCAGCAGAAGCTGTGGCAGCAGCCTGATGCCCCTCCACGAGCTGGTTGATTCGCTTGAACTGCCATGGCCATGCCGCGTTGTACAGGAACCCTCATGACTGTCAGTGGCACTATTGATGAAGGGCGACTGGCGTGCCCTCAACTGCAGCAGCAGCAGCACCTGTAGCTGCGGCCTCATGCTCGGCCACGAGTTGGTCAATCCGCCTGAACTGCCACGACCACACCATGTCACATTGCAGCTCCTGCTGCGCTAGAACCCTCAGTTGAAGGTGTTGCAGCACCTGCTCCCACCGCTGCCTCATGCTCTGCCACAAGCTGGTCAATCTGTTTGAACTGCCACGGCCACGCCACGTTGTACAGGAACTGCCTCAGGTCGAACCGGTTGTCCTCCGGGGAGTAGTTCTGAATGGGGGAAGACGGGAGGGAGATGGCAGGGAGATGGGACGGAGGAAGACGCAAGGGGAAATGGGGGTGACGCAAGGGGAAACGGGGGTGACGCAAGGGGAAACGGTTGTACAGGAACTGTCTCAGGTCAAACTGGTTGTCCTTCGGGGAGTAGTTCTGGAAGTGTGGCGAGGGGAGGTAGGAGGAAGTTAGGAATTGCCTCAGCATCGCACGAGGGATTGGGGAGGAAGTGACGGAGAGAGGGACTGAGGGAGTGAGCACATGAGGGAGTGAGGGAGTGAGAGGTTACCTCGGCATGGTAGTAGGCGTGAGCAAAGGAGGGAGTGACGGAGTACGTGAGGGAGTGAACGGTTACCTCAGCGTGGTAGGAGGGCGTGAGCGAGTGAACGGTTACCTCAGCGTGGTAGGAGGGCGTGAGCGAGTGAACGGTTACCTCAGCGTGGTAGGAGGGCGTGAGCGAGTGAACGGTTACCTCAGCGTGGTAGGAGGGGGTGAGAGTGGTCATCTTGTGGCGGTTGACGGAGTAGAAGCGGAAGAATGCCTTCACCTTTACTGCCACCTCCGCCACTGTCAGCCGCTGCCGCCACTCATGACACAGATGCTGGGAGGGGGGAGGGACGGAGGGAGGTGATAATTATGAGGGCAGAGGATTGGCGATATCACAAGAGAGGGACTTTTGAGGGACCTCACGAGCGGGAAGGAGTGAGGGTGGTCAGCTTGTGACAGTCGGAGGAATACAAGCAAGGGCCGGTGAGTGCAGCAACATGCTTGTTGTACTTTGCTTGCCTTGTTCATGGAACTCCATCCATCCCCTCTTCCTCCTCCCCCCCAACCCTCCCCTTTCCTCTCTTGCTCCTTGGTGCACGATGTAGCGAACGTTGTTAACAATACCTCTCTTTAAATCCAATCCCTTTCCTCCCCTCCTCTCTAATCTCTTCCTCCTTACTTTCTGACAGCGTGCACGATGTAATGCACATTGATCATGAGGACGAGCTGTGTGAGGCGCCTCGTTGCGGCACAGCTTCCACCCTTAACCTCCCTCCTTACCTTCTCTCCCCTCAACCCATCAACTTGTTGGTTTTTGAGAATCCTGAAAAAACAACTTGTAAACAGGCCAGTGCAACGGCAAGAGCGCTAAGTGCTCGAGCTGAAGTAGCAGAATAATAGAACGTGGAGCATGGCGCAGATAGCATAGCACATGGCACATGATCGCAAATAGCAGCAACAATGTCTACCGATACGCACCTGGAACATGGCAACAGGGCCGCAGCGCAGGACCTTGCGCAGGCGGCCGTAGAGCGAGAGGTCCTCGTAGGTCATGCCCATGTCCACCTCGTCCACCTGTGCGGTGTGGGATGGCATGGCATGGCAAGAGAATGCATGGCATGGTATTTGATGGCATGGCATGGGATGGCATGGGACGTGACATGGCATGATTGCAAGGCACGGGATGACTTGGGATCATATGAGAAGGTGCCAACAGCATGTCATCATGTCCATCTGCACTCTTCACTCTCTATTGCATTCCATTATCACCTCCTCTCCTCTGAACAGTGCCATCACTGGCCCAAATACACATAGTCCTCTCTGATTGGCCCACCTGCACGTAATCCGGTCTGATTGGCCCACCTCCACGTAGTCTGCTCTGATTGGCCCACCTGCACGTAATCCGCTCTGATTGGCTCCAGCTCAGCGGTGGGCGGCGCTGCCTCGACGTCTGCCAGTGAGGCGAAGCCAAGGTGGACTGCCGCCCAGCGCAAGAAGCGGCGAAGGTCCGTCTTGCTGATTCCACCAATGGGGTTGGTGTCTGCACTGCTGCAGTCGTACTGATAGGGATGGTGGTGGGGGGAGAGGAGGGTGGGAAAGGGGGAGTAAGAAAGGAGGGAGGCAATAAGCAGGGGAAGCAGCGAAGGTCCGTTTTGGTGATGTGGTGATGGGGTTGATGTGTGCACTGCTGCAGCCGTACTGGCGAGAAGGGAAGCAGGAAGTGGGGTGGAAAAGAAGTGGATGGGAGAGTGGGAGTGTTGAGGCGAAGCCAAGGGGGACTGCCGCCGAAGAAGCGGAGGTGGTCCGTCTTGCCGATGTCCCCGATGGGGTCGATATTAGCACTGCTCCAATCGTTATGGTGGGAACAGGGGGAGGGGGGTCGGAAAGAAGGGAGTTTTTGAGAATTCTCAAAAACACCCTGCAGCATCAGGGACCGGGAGTGTTGAGATGAAGCCACGGTGGACTGTCTTGCAGCGCCGAGGTGAGGCAAGTGAGACAAACCCCTCTCCCTCTCCCTCTCCCTCTCCCTCTCCCTCTCCCTCTCCCTCTCCCTCTCCCTCTCCCTCTCCCTCTAGCATCAGCAACACTACCAACAGTAGCAGCAATAATGGCAGCAGTTGCAACAACACCTGCAACAACAACACTGGCAGCAGCAACAGCAGGAGCAGCAGCAACAACACCTGCAACAGCTGCTCCTGTTGAGGGCGTTTCAGGTGTTGCTGCTGCTCCTGCTGTTGCTGTTACCAGTGTTGTTGGTGAGAGAACAGGGGATGGAACGAAGGGAGTGCTGTTGAGGCGACTTTTGAGAATTCTCAAAAGTCACTCGAATATAGCTGAACTGGACTGCTGCAGCGCAGAAAGTGAGGGAGGCCCATCTTGCTGATGCCTCTGATGGGGTTGATGTCGGCACTGCTGCAGTTGTACCGGTGCGAGAGGGGGAGCGAAATGCTTGTGTGTGAGAACTGTAATCAAAAGGGAGGCAAGTTGGGGTGTGGTGAGGACCGGAAACAACGTTTGAGAATTCTCATAAGGGATCTATCTATCTTGCTGATGCCAGCTATATTGAAATAACTTCTGAGAATTCTCAAAAGTGTGATAAGTCGATTTTTTAGTCGACTCAAAGATCTATCTTGCTGATGCCGCCGATGGGGTTGATGTGTGCACTGCTGCAGTCGTACAGGTGGGAAAGGAGGGAGATAGTGACCCGTTGGGAGTGAGTGGGGATAGGGACGTCAGGGAAATCGTTTTCTGATGCCTCCAGTATGATTGATATCAGCAACTATTTACGCGGTACTGAGGAGAGGAGAGTGAGCCACGGGGAGAGAAGGACGGAACGGATGGATGGTGGTCTTGAGGTAGACTTGGCTCAACAGCAATAAGTGTGATACGCAATGCTTCCATAGAAAGCACACCTTAGTGAGACAGCCCCTCAGCCCCTCGCCCACGTTGGCGCTGCCCACGATGATTGGTTGGTTGATATACCTGTGGGAACCAGCAGTGCTCGCTCTGTCTCACGCTCACCGCAACGACTGTGATACCACCATGCTCCCTTAGAAAGAACACCTTGGTGAGGTACCCCCTCAGAGCCTCGTGCACGTTCGCACTGCTCAGCAGGAGCAGTCCACTTGATTTGATAAATCAGTGGTGAGTTGACTGTGATAAACCACGCTCCCATCCCACTATAAGCACACCTTAGTGAGGTATCCCCTCAGAGCCTCGTCCACATTGGCACTGCCCAGCACGAGCAGAAAGCCCCCTCCGCCCCCCCGCTGCTCCGACCCCCCTCCCCTCCCCTTGCTCCTCTCCAACACCCCTTCCGCCGGCACCAACTCCCCTCCCCCCTTTCCTTCCTTCCCCCCTTCGCCTGTGCTCCCATCAGCTGTGCTCCCCTTCCGCCCCTCCTCTTTCCCCTTCTCAACCTGCTGCCCCCCTGCTCCCCCACGCCCCCCATGCCCGCGCACCCAGGGCAGCAGCTGCGCAAAGAGGAAAGCGAGCACCATGCGCAGGCGGGCTTGGATGTTCTGTAATGCCAGGTTCTCTGCTGATGCGCCTCCATCCAGCTGATTGGACGGGGGTGGGGAGAAGCGGGAGGGATGGATGGGATTGCAGAGGCGAGGACGGGGCTTGATTGTTCGCAGAAGGAGGATTTTTGCGATGTAGGGAGGGCTGCGGCTGCTCAATGCTCAGTGGTGTTGCAAGGAGCCGGACTGCCTAGCTTGACTAACACCACAGAATCTATTTGCCACAAAATCATATCCGCCTTGAATCACAAGCGTTTTTCCTGCAAGATGAGAAGGTGAGGGGGTGCAAATGAACCACCCCACCTTGTAGCGCGGGCGCAGGCCAGTGACAGTGAGGAAGAGAGCAACAACAGCAGCGACCACGGAGTCAATACTTGTGTCCAAGTGCCATGCTCCTATCTCCGACGCTAGCTTCTTAGCTCGCGATCGCGTGGCCTGGGAGCTGTGTGCATAGGGCGAGGGCATCATAGGGAGATAGGTGGGAGGTGAGTGAGAGGAAGGAGATCAAAGGGGCAGGAAAGGGGGGAGCACAAAGGGCTACTTGGCACCCATAGAGCAGGTATTGACCTGCTCATACTGTCCAAATAACAAATGCTTGAGGATACATAGAGGCTATTAGAGCCTCGTTTTTAGACAATGGGTGTGGCACTAATGGGAATATAATGGGTGTGGTGTAGGCACTAGCGCTTAGTCAGGGAGCACGCAAATGGTATTCATGGGAACACGGGGGATAGGAAGGTAGCTACAGACCTGTTCTCCGTGCCCATGTAGATGGTGTGCACGATGCCATCTGCCAGCCGGGCAGCATGCCGAGTTTTGAGGCGCCTTGAAAGTGAAAAACCATTGAGGTACCTAAAGATAGGTACAGACCTGTTCTCCGTGCCCATGTAGATGGTGTGCAGGATGCGATCTGCCAGCCTGGCAGCATGCCGCTTCTGCTCCTCTACCGCCACCCCTGCCGCCAGGTGTAACCCCGTGATTCGCTCTGCGTCCTGCCGCACCTGCTCGTCGCCCTCTGCTATGGCTGCAAAGAAGAAAACACAAGGGCAGGGCGTGGGAAGCGGAGGGACGGACGGGCAGAGGGGGTGTGGTGTGCGGGGGACATCATTTGCCCTGCGTCTTGCCGCACACACCTGCTAGTCCTCCGATATGGCTAGGAGTGGGGAGCACAGGCGAACACAAGGAGAGGGCATGGATGTGGAAGAAGAAGGGTGTGGTTGGGACGAGAGGGGTTGTAGAGGCAGGGAGGGCGTGAGTGTGACCCACTCTACCTCCTGCTGGACGTACCTGCCCGTTGCCCTCCACTAGTGCCAGCCACCAGCTGGTACATACATGCACTGCACCCCACTGTGCCGGCCATGGATGAGCTGTCAGCAGCAAGGCAGCATAGCACCTCATAGCATCCCCTAGAACCCCGCAACACCCCATTGCTACCACCACATCACACCTGTAGCAACCAGCTGGCACATCCACCCCACTATGGCGGCCACAGATGAGCTGTCAGCAGAAAGGCAGCACAGCACCCCGTAGCATCCAACCGCACCTCATAGTATCACATAGCACCGCATCACACCTTGAGCCACCAGCTGGTAGGCACATGCATCGCATTATGGCGGGCACAGAAGAGCTATCAGCACCGCCAGACAGCAGCATTGCTATGGAAACCCCACAGCACTGCATAGGACTGCATAGCACCGCATCACACCTTTCGCCACCAGCTGGCACATGCACCCGACAATAGCGGCCACAGAGGAGCTGTAAGCGCCGCCAGACAGTGGCAGAAGGAAGCCCGAGGCCCCACTGCGCCGCAAGTAGTCCCACAGCCAGCACGCCATAGCACCTCACAGAATCACCTTGCACAGCATTACCCCACACAGCGCCCGATAGCACCGCTCCACACCTTTCGCCACAAGCTGGCACATGCAGCCCACGATGGCAGCCACAGAGCTGCTGTCAGCGCCGCCAGACAGCGGCAGCAGGAAGCCCGATGCCCCACTGCGCCGCAAGTAGTCCCACAGCCAACATGCCATAGCACCTCATAGCATCACTTTGCACGGCATTAGACCCCATAGCACCCCATAGCACCGCATTGCACCTTTCGCAACCAGCTGGCACATGCAGCCCACGATGGCAGCCACAGAGCTGCTGTCAGCCCCGCCAGACAGCGGCAGCAGGAAGCCCGATGCCCCACTGCGCCGCAAGTAGTCCCACAGCCAGCACGCTGGGCCCAGTGCTATCTCCTCCTCGGGGCAGTGGTAGCGGATCTGGTGGCGTTGGGCGGAGTACGCAGGGGGGGCATGAGGGCATGCGAGGAGGGAGTGGAAAGAGAGGCAGTATCTGTGCCTCCTGGGCGCCACAGATAGTCCCACAGCCAGCATCGTGGGCCCAGAGCGATCTCATCTTCCGGGCAGTGGTAGCGAATCTGGTGGTGCGTGGGGGGAGGGAAAAGGGAGCACAAGGGGGGTGAAGGAGGAGAGGCACTCTAAAGCCGGTGGCTCCGCTGCGCCTCCGGGTAGTGGGACAGTGGTAGCGGATTTGGGCAGAGGAGAGGGAGAGCAGGTGGCGCGTAGTGTCACGTGATTAGCAAGCTGATTGCTTTAGTAGGTGAAGGTTGAAGCAGGAAGAGATGATTAGGAGGAGAGCGGAAGGAGAACGGAAGGAGAGCAGAAGGAGAGTGGAAGGAGAGTGGGAGACTGGGAGGAAAGTGGAAAGATGGTGGATGGAGGGTAAGAGGAGAGCAGAAGAAGAGTGGAAGAAAGGATACCTGAATGGGGTGGGAGGTGGCGAGAGTAAGGCTAGCCGATGAGGGATGGCAGATGGAGATGTCGGAGGCAATGCGCACGATGGGTGGCGCGGGAGAGTGGAAGGGGAGTGGGAGGAGAGGGAAAGTTGGTATACCTGGATGGGATGCGAGGTGGCGAGAGAAAGGCTAGCCGATGAGGGATGGCAGATGGAGATGTCGGAGGGAATGCGCACGATGCCAGGGGACGCAGAGGCAGAGGAGGAAAGGGTGGGGAAGGAGGCGGATGGTGCTGGGGCGGAGGCTGAGGCTTGCTCCCTCAGGCTGCTGATGGCGCCTCTGTAGCTCGCCACCTGGAGAAGTGCAAAGGGGAGGAGGCGTGAGGGGCAGGAGAGGAATGAGATGAATGAGAGGACGAGAGGGAAAAGGCTGCGGCCTGCTCCCTCAGGCTGCTTATGGTGCCCCTGTTGCTCGCCACCTGGAGGGGTGCACAGGGGGGAGGGGGATGAGCTGGGTGAGACGCAGGCGGGAGGAGGGAAATGGTTTGGGAAGAAAGGCACGTGAGGAGAAGAGCGCATGCAGCACTGCAGAGAATGGTGACCGAGAGGGGCCCTGAAAGAGGGTGGTACTGGAGCATGCATGGCAGGCTCTTTCAGGACCCCTCAGACGCGCATGGTGCGATTGGCTTGGGGGGGAAAGAGCACATACGGGCATGCAGTCATGGGATGATGCACAGTAACACGCAGGAATACACAGTGATACACACAGTGCCTGAAGCTATCGCGCTTGGTTCTAGGCATCACTTGAGTTTACTATGAATTACGGTGTGTTTCCTGCGTATTCCTGCACGGCTGTGATCGAGAGGTATGGCCCACGTGCTATAACTAACGTCGGCTTATTGATCGGAACAGTGCTTGCGCCTGCTCCTTACAGGAGGCTCGTTGAAGTAGCCGCTCAATAAGCCGACGTTAGTTATAGCACGTGAGCCATACCTACCGATCACAGCCGCGCAGCAATACACATGCAACACACCTTAATACATAGTCGACTCCTGTGATGCCCGCGACCAAGTGCGCCAACTTCAGGCACTCCGGTCCAAATTAGCTCAAGTCAATCCATCTGGTCAACTCAAGTCAATGCGGTCAACGCACCTGGTCGAGGTCCACTGTAGCGGTTACCACCTCGACGTCAGCCAATGAGAACTGCGACCCCTGCGCCACCACCTGCCCGTTTACCACCACCATGGCACAGCCGTCTGGTGAATTCACAAGGGGGGAAAAGAGGGGGAGGGAGGGGAGGGGCAGGGAGAGGGATAGGGAGACACGGGGTTTGAGATGTCTCAAACCTTGAGAACTGCGATCCCTGCGCCACCACCACCTGCCCGTTCACCACCACCATGGCACACCCGTCTGACGGAGTGAAGAGGGGGGTGGGGGGGGGAAGGGCGTGGGGAGGGGATGGATAGACAAGCGAATGGGAGAGGCGCAACAGGAAAGATGTGTAACGGCGCTGCAGAATCAAACACCCTGCTGCAGACGCAGCATAAATGACGAGCCTCTTGCGTGCGCCGCCCAGCTTGGCTAGGTCATAAGCACAGCACGCCACCGACCATAGTACAGCCTTCCTCCGTCACACCCCTTCTGGTTGGCGTACAGATACACTCCCCCCGCCTTGCTGGTGGCAGACTGCACGAGCCCCACGCGCGTGCCCAGCTTGCGCAACTCGTGGTGGCTGCCACTGCCGTGCCTTTAATGACAGCCCACCCGCCTTTCGGGTCAAAAGCATGCCACACTCACCATAGTACAGCCTTCCACCGTCACACCCCTTCTGGTTAGCGTACAGATAAACCCCGCCTGCTTTGCTAGTAGCAGACTGCACGAGTCCCACGCGGGTCCCCAGCTTGCGCAGCTCGTGGTGGCTGCCGCTGCCGTTGCCCACCACCTCTGCCCCCGCCAGTGCCGCTCGGATGTGCGGTGCCAGAGGGGTGAACAGCTCCTCACACGTCTCACTCGCCAGGGTGCTGGGAGTGAGGCAAGGTGGGGGTGGATATCATACACGTGGAGGAAACAGAGTGGGTGCGTTCAGTTCCGTTGCCCACCACCTCTGCCCCCGCCAGTGCCGCTCGGATGTGCGGTGCCAGAGGGGTGAACAGCTCCTCACATGTCTCACTCGCCAGGGTGCTGGGAGGGAGAGAAGAATGGGGAGACAAGTTGGAGGCAGATAGCAAACACGATGCGAGGAGGCAACAAAGTGAGTGCGCTTGCTGCCGTTGCCCACCACCTCTGTTCCTGCCAGTGCCGCTCGGATGTGCGGAACGAGAGGGGTGAATAGCTCCTCACACGACTCACTCGCCAGGGTGCCGCGAGGACCAGGAGTAACGAGGACAGAAGGATATGAGCGTACTCGTATCACAACGCAAGGAGGGAACTGTGCATGTGATCACCTCACCACCTCTGCTGGCATTGCAATACAAGGCACAGAGGTGGAGAGGTGGAGAGGTGGAGAGGTGGAGAGGCGGAGAGGTGGAGAGGTGGAGAGGCGGAGAGGCGGAGAGGCGGAGAGGCGGAGAGGCGGAGAGGCGGAGAGGCGGAGAGGCGGAGAGGCGGAGAGGTGGAGAGGTGGAGAGGCGGAGAGGCGGAGAGGCGGAGAGGCGGAGAGGCGGAGAGGCGGAGAGGCGGAGAGGCGGAGAGGCGGAGAGGCGGAGAGGTGGAGAGGTGGAGAGGTGGAGAGGTGGAGAGGCGGAGAGGCGGAGAGGCGGAGAGGCGGAGAGGCGGAGAGGCGGAGAGGCGGAGAGGCGGAGAGGCGGAGAGGCGGAGAGGCGGAGAGGCGGAGAGGCGGAGAGGCGGAGAGGCGGAGAGGCGGAGAGGCGGAGAGGCGGAGAGGCGGAGAGGCGGAGAGGCGGAGAGGCGGAGAGGCGGAGAGGCGGAGAGGCGGAGAGGCGGAGAGGCGGAGAGGCGGAGAGGCGGAGAGGCGGAGAGGCGGAGAGGCGGAGAGGCGGAGAGGCGGAGAGGCGGAGAGGCGGAGAGGCGGAGAGGCGGAGAGGCGGAGAGGCGGAGAGGCGGAGAGGCGGAGAGGCGGAGAGGCGGAGAGGCGGAGAGGCGGAGAGGCGGAGAGGCGGAGAGGCGGAGAGGCGGGGAGGCGGGGAGGCGGAGAGGCGGAGAGGCGGAGAGGCGGAGAGGCGGAGAGGCGGAGAGGCGGAGAGGCGGAGAGGCGGAGAGGCGGAGAGGCGGAGAGGCGGAGAGGCGGAGAGGCGGAGAGGCGGAGAGGCGGAGAGGCGGAGAGGCGGAGAGGCGGAGAGGCGGAGAGGCGGAGAGGCGGAGAGGCGGGGAGGCGGGGAGGCGGGGAGGCGGGGAGGCGGGAGGCGGAGAGGCGGAGAGGCGGAGAGGCGGAGAGGCGGAGAGGCGGAGAGGCGGAGAGGCGGAGAGGCGGAGAGGCGGAGAGGCGGAGAGGCGGAGAGGCGGAGAGGCGGAGAGGCGGAGAGGCGGAGAGGCGGAGAGGCGGAGAGGCGGAGAGGCGGAGAGGCGGAGAGGCGGAGAGGCGGAGAGGCGGAGAGGCGGAGAGGCGGAGAGGCGGAGAGGCGGAGAGGCGGAGAGGCGGAGAGGCGGAGAGGCGGAGAGGCGGAGAGGCGGAGAGGCGGAGAGGCGGAGAGGCGGAGAGGCGGAGAGGCGGAGAGGCGGAGAGGCGGAGAGGCGGAGAGGCGGAGAGGCGGAGAGGCGGAGAGGCGGAGAGGCGGAGAGGCGGAGAGGCGGAGAGGCGGAGAGGCGGAGAGGCGGAGAGGCGGAGAGGCGGAGAGGCGGAGAGGCGGAGAGGCGGAGAGGCGGAGAGGTGGAGAGGTGGAGAGGTGGAGAGGTGGAGAGGTGGAGAGGCGGAGAGGTGGAGAGGTGGAGAGGTGGAGAGGTGGAGAGGTGGAGAGGTGGAGAGGTCCTGGCTACAACATCAGATCAGTCGACATCCACAGCAACTGCCACCAACCATCCCCACAAGTCATCACCTATTCAGATATAACGTATCCACATATCACTCACCCACATACCACCCGTCCAGATACCACCCGTCCAGATACCACCCGTCCAGGCATCACCCACCTATCAAGCAGATCCAGCACGCCATCCCCAATGGGCACCTCCCGCTGCCCCTCACACGCCGCGGTAACCACCGCTGGTAACCGCACGCTCTCCACCACTCCCAACCGCTTCCACGTGGCGAACCAGCGCGTTTCCCGGTAGTTTCCATCATTCGCCAGATCCATCTTGGGGCGCAGCAGCAGGATCCGACGGCTGTGGACGAGCGCCCGGCAGTTGTAGCGCACCCCGCGGTGCTCCACTGGCAGCCCGATGTCACACAGGATGCCGGCTGTAGCGCCGCTCGCGATGATGGTGGCTAGACACTCCCAGCTGAGGGGGTGGGAAGGGTGGAAGTAGACAAGTCTGGGTGCGTTGTAGCGCACGCCACGGTGCTCCACTAGCAGCCCGATATCGCATAGGATGCCGGCTGTAGCGCCGGTCTCAATAATAGCTGCAAGGCATTCCCAGCTGGAGGGGAAGTGGGGGAAGGAGGGGGTGACAAGGGAGTGAACGGAGGTGGCAGGAGGGATATTCTCCACCGGCATCCCGATCTCACACAGGATCTCGGCCGTAGATTCGGCTGTAGATTCGGCTGTAGCGCCGCTGGTGTTGATTGCTGCAAGGCACTGCCAGCTGCGGGTTGGAGGAAGAGTGAGGGAGTGGGGGGAGAGTGATGGAAGAGCGAGGGAGTGGGGTAAGGAGCGCAGCAGAAAAATCCCAGCTGAAACGCTGCTGGGAGAGTGAGGGGCGGCTGTAGCACTTCTGGCAGCGACGGCGGTTAACTCCCACTTCATGGGATCGGACGTGAGATGAGTGGGGAGGATTAGCGGGCGGGAGGGGAAGGGGAGGAAGGAATCGGCGATAAACACGTTCCGAAGAGGACGGCCGTGGTGCCGCTGGCGACGATGGAATCAGACACTCCCAGCTGACGTGATGAAGCTGGGCGATTCGGCCAGCGCGGCACGGCTCGGTAGAGGAAGGGAGGCCGATGGCGGACGCCATGTGGCAGGGGAGGGCAAGGGTAAAGTGTTCTAGTTTCAAGGAGGGGAAAGCATGACGTACGCGTGCTGGCACGTGTCGTGCTCGAGGAAATGATCCTCGCAGCCGTAGCCCGTGATCTCTAGCTCGGGCCCGATTCGATATGACGCGCCTCGCGCCTTCGCCTCGCGAATGGACGCGATGATACGATTTGTGTTACCCTCGAAATCCATCGCCCATTGGTTCAGCGCGCACGTGGCGAGCGTCGCGAGCCTCATGGCGGCAAGGCGGCAGAGAAGATCGACTCACCGCTACCCGCGCTCGCACAATGCTTTCAATGCAGTTCTCCCACAAACTGGCTCACAACTGGAGCGCCTGACTGAACAAACACACGTGTCGTGAAATTCGATGAGACGCGGCCTTGTGGCCGAGTATGCAACATAGTCCTCGCTACTGAAGTTCTCACAACATTCACGTTACAGGTTGCCTCCTCACTCCAGTTAAAAAACAGATACACATTTCTGGGCAAATAAATATGGGCCCGAGTGGGGACACGCCTGAAAGTGCTTGTATGGGCGCAGGCCCCTCGCCATTGTCAAAGGCTGTATGATTGGTATTCAGGAAGCGACTCGTTCGATAATTGCACAGCGAGACGAATCACTCAAGCGACTCGCATGTGCGCTGCGGGTTCTGTTTGATGACGAGCTCGGCTTGGAAAATGAAACTTCTGGATGCAAAGTGTGATGCCTAAAAACTAGGCATTTACACTGTACATCCTTAAAAAAGGTAAGGAAAGAGCTACTTCGTCTTTGATGATATGCGAAGAACATCTCCGAAATTGCTAAGCAGCTCAAGTTTGTATCCGGAGGTACAGATTCTGAGCTGGCTGCCCGAGGGGGAAAAAAGAGCCATCCAGAATTCCTCATCCACATCATCCCAAATTATTTTCCCATCCCATCCCGTACCTCCCATCCCAACCCAACCCAAGCCGCAGGCTGGCATGGCATGGCAATGTTGCATTTGACCGTACTCTTTCAAGTCATCACTTGTTGAGATTTCCACTTTGAGCTAGCACATCTCAGTTGTTCAACTTGTTTGGCTGCTTCACGCCATCCGTTTGTAACTCGGGACCTGACATCCCCTCATACGTAGTGAGCATCTTTTCGGCGGAAATGAGTGAAAGCATGGAAAAGGTCGAGCTTGAGGATCCCGGCGACGGAGAAGCATCGACTGGTAGCATCTCGCTGGAAGCGCAAGAAGAATCACTGAAAGCCGTGAATTCAACTGCAAGTTCCCAGTGTGTGAGCGAAGTGCCGGAGGCGGAAAACACGAAACGCTCGTTCCCGAAGGAGACTGAAAACACGATGGTTGGAGGCGAGGATAATGTAAATAACGTGGAGAAAGGTGGGCACGGGGGCGAAGTCAACCTTCCCGACGGCGATGCGGCGGCCTCCGAACCAGCAAAAGTGGAGGAAGATTCAGCGGCAGATGCGTGAGCTGCCGTAGATACAAGCGACGGGATGGGCGAAGCGGAGAGCCAGCAAGAGGGCCACGAAGCGAGCCGCGACGCGGGAGAAGCTTTGGAGGCTTCCGTCAATCGCAATGTGACAGACCCGTCGCCTGAAAGGATAGACCGCGAAGAAGGCGGAAATACGAGCAGCGTTCCGTGTCCTGGAGAAAACTTGGGTGGACCCGAGGAAGCTGCTGGCAGCGAGGCGGACGAGGGAAGCAGCGGAGGGGCGGAGGAAGTCGGCGGTTCGGCCGCTGAGGAAGCGTGCGGCGTGAAAAAGGACGTGGAAGACGCGAGCGGTTCGAATAAGGATGCTCATGCGGAGGGTGCAGCAGGTGAGGATGTTACGACTCTCCGCGACGCAGCAGCCGAAGATGCGGCGAATGCCCGCGACGCACTAGCTGAGACCGAGCACACTTCAGCCGTCCTCGAGACCGAGGCGCCGTCAATGGTGGACAGCGCGAGCTGCGGAGATGGCGCGGTGAGCGGAGGCTCGGCAAGCGCGCAAGAGGCAATTGCAGCCGACGCCGATGCAGGTGCAGACGTTAGAACCATGGCTGAAGCTTGCGATAGAACCGGGAGCGGCGTGGACCCAACAGACTCGGCTGCGAGCACGGACGAAGCAAGCGTGGCGGATGGCAATGCGGACTCGGATGCAGGAGCAGGCGAAGGGGCCACGGACGAGGCTGATGAGGGGAACGCGACCTGCGAGGCCGCGGCAAACGCAGCACTTGAAACGGAGACCGCCACGGCCGGTGAGAACGAGAACGAGAACGCGCGCGAAAGCGAGATTGAGCCCGAGCATGCTGACGGCCCTGCGTGCAAGGAGGCACAACCGCCGGACGGCGTATCCGTGCCTGCCGGTGAGGGAGTAGCTTTCGAGACAGAGGAAGGCGCGGGTAGCGCGTCGGGCGTAGAGGCGGGAAGCGAGGAGCCGGCGGCGGTTGCGGAGGAAGCGGCGGGAGAAACGGAGCCCGAAAGCTGCTCGTCAGACAAGAAGCCCGACGCGGAAGAGGTGCACGCGAGTGGCACAGCGCCTGATGCGGCGCCAGTCGCGGCGGACAAGGCGGTGAGCCCGGTCGAAGAGGGGAAAGCGGAGGTGGTGGAGCGTACGGAGAGCGAGGGAGGGATAACTTGCACTGGGAATGATGATGATGCGATTGAGAGCAACGGCTGCGAGAGTGCGGAGGATGTGGGGCATGAGAAGCATGAGGATGAGAAGAGAGTGCTAGTAGCGGGTGATGAGGGAATCGAGGTAGCTCATAGCGAGGATGTAGAAGAGATAGAGGGAGGTGGGGTGATTAATAATGATGAGAAGAACGAAGGGGTAGAGACGAGTGACGAGGCGGGGAAGAGTGAGGAGGTGGAGAGGACTGAAGCGCAAGAGAGTGAGGACCATGAAAATGTGGCAGATGAGAAGGCGGGCGAATCAATGCAGCGCGACGCGGCAATGGTTGAGGTGACTGCTGAAGGCGCGGTGAGCGCGGACGAAGGAAATGGCGCAGAGAATGGAGAGGTCGCGGCGAATGGGGAAAACGGCGGAGCGCAAGGGACAGGCGGCGAGGAAGGGCCAGGCGGAGGAAACACGGCTGCACAAGAGGCGGGAGAGAGCACGGGGACGGCGCACGAGGCGGAGAGGGCGGAAGCGACGGAAGGCGGGGAGGAGGCGGCGGAGGAGGAGGAGGCGGCGGAAGCGGCGGAGGAGGCGGCGGAAGCGGCGGAGGAGGGGAGCGCGGCGAGCGAGGGGTCAGTGGAGGAGCTGCGGGCTGACGAGGCGGAGAAGGCACACGAGGCGGAGAAGGCACACGAGGCGGAGGTGGCGGGTGGGGCGGAAGAGGGAAGCGCAACGATCGAGGGGGCGGCGGAGGGGGCGGAAGAGGGAAGCGCAGCGATCGAGGAGGCGGCGGAGGAGGCGGAAGAGGGAAGCGCAGCGATTGAGGGGGCGGCGGAGGAGGCGGAAGAGGGAAGCGCGGCGAGCGAGGGGTCGGTGGAGGAGCTGCGGCTGCTGGCGGACGTGCTGGCGTTGATGGACTCGGACGCCTCATCCAACGGCTCCCATCACTCCTCGTCCGCCTCCTCCGATAGCGACTCCGCATCCGACGGTTCAGCGGCCCTTGCTGACGTGGATAAACATGAGGTAAGCAGCCGGCCCCGAATCTGCGCAAATGAGCTGAGGAAGCGTTGGCTAATATATGAACTCTGCGACACCGCCCCTATGTTGGCAGGTTCTTCAGCAGGCAGCAGCTGCCGAAGCGCAGGTGAATGCTCAGGTGGAAGCAGCAGTGAAGGTGCACGTGGCGGCGATCGAAGCGGACGCCGCCGCCGCCATTGAGCGGCGCGTCGCCGCCAGCTTGGAGCACCTGACCGCGGAGCTCGAAGCCAAGCTGGCCGGGCAGCTGGAAGAACGTTTAGCTGCCCGAATCGAGGAAAAAATCGCCGCGCGCATGGAAGAGCGGATGGCCACTGACGTGGCGACGCAGGTTACGGTGCGGCTGGCGGAGATGGAGGCGGAATGGAAGGAGCGCGCAGCAGGGGGAGCGGAGCACCCGCAGGCCCACGCGCAGGCGCAAGGCGGAGGAAAAGCTCCTGCGCAGGGGCAGGCGGGGTGGCAGAAGTGGATGATGTGGGGCGCGCGGGAGGACGATATGCGCAAGCAGGCGGAAGAGGAGCGGCGGAGGGAGATTGCGCGCGTGAAGGAGCAGCTGGAGGAGCAGTGGGGCGCGGAGGTTCACAAGCTGCAGGCGCTCATGCAGGCGGAACGCGCCATCTCCGCGGAGCGCCTACAGGCGCTGGAGCGGCGGTGGCAGCGCGGGGAGGCGGAGCTGGCGGAAGGCATCCGCGCGGTGCAGGAGCTTGCGGTGATGAAGGTCGCGGCGGTGGAGGAGCGGTGGGGCGCGAAGGAGGCGGGGATGCTGCAGGCGATGGCGGAAGAGATGCAGCGCCAGGTGGCGGAGCTCAAGGCGGAGCAGGCGGGGTGGGTGGGGCGCGTGGAAGACATGCGCTTCCGCGTGTCCGCGGAGCTCAAGCAGGCGGAGGGGCGGTTGCATTCCGCGCAGGAGGCGTGGGCGGGGCGGCTGGCGGAGATGCAGGCGCAGGCGGACGCGGGGAGGGTTGCGGACGCGGGGAGACTGGCGGAGATTGAGCGGGAGTGGGAGGGGAAGCTGGCGGAAGTGCGGAAACACGTGGAGGAGGAGAGGCGGAGGGGTGTAAAGCGGTGCAAAGTGGTGGAGGAAACGGTGGGGAAGAAGATAGAGGAGAGCCGGCGGGCGGCGGACGCGGAACTGGAGAAGGCGCTTCAGCGGGAGGCGGAAGCGCGCAAAGAGCAGGCGGAAGCCGCATCCGCGCGTGCCGCGGAGATCGCCGCGCAAGTGGAGGAAGCCGCGCGGCAGGCGGAGGAGGAGCGCAAGCGGAACCTGAAGCGCGCGGCGAAGATCCTCAAGGACTGCGCGGGGAAGACGGAGGCTGTGGAGCAGCGCGTGGCGGAGGCGGAGAAGCGCATCGACGCGGAGCGCAAGGCGCAGCGCGAGGCGGTTGCGCGGATCCACGCGCAGTTCGAGATGATGGAGGTGGCGTGGGGGAAGCGCGTGGAGCAGACCAAGGCGGAGGTGGCGGTTATGCAGACGGAGGCGCGCGCGCAGCGGCGGCGGGACGAGGAGGCGCTGGGCGCGGTGAAGGCGGAGTGGGCGGAGTGGGCGGGGGAGCTGCAGCGGCAGACGCAGGCGGCGCTGGGCGACGACGCGAAGAAACTGGAGCTGCTGGATGAGGTGCGCGGGGGGGGGGGGCGGGGACTGGGAAGGGGGAAGGTTAAAGGGGTGGGGAGGCACAATAGGCGACAGAAGCGCGGAAAGGCGGGAAGGGGGCAAGCGGGGGTTCAAGGGGTTTGGGAAGAAGGGGAGGGGAGGGGGGCGGGGAAGGGGGATGAGCGGGTAGAGGGGGGGGGGGGAGAGGGGTGCAAGAGTTGCACGTAGGGATGCACAACTGATGCTTCCTGCTGTTTCCCCTTCCTGCCTGACCTTTGCCTCACAACTGATGCGCATTCAACCACACACTCTTTGTTGTTCCTGTCCCTTCCCCTCCCCCATTGTTCCACCTTTCCCTTCCCATCCCTCTTCCACCACACACCCCCCTACCTTCCCTCCCCAGGTGGTGCTGCAGCTCTTCTCCGCCCACGTGCGCGCACAGCTCGCCTCACTGCGCCAGCGCCTCGACGACACCGCCCAGACGCATGCAGACAAACTGCGCCACCTCCATGACAACATCGCCGCCCGCCTCGACGCCGCCCGCAAGCGGCTAGAAGACGAGCGGCGCGCGGAGGGGGAGCAGTTGCAGCAGTGGGAGCGGCTGTGGGGGGTGGCGGCGGATAGCAAGTGGGGGGAGACGGTGGCCGGGCGGCACCGGAGGGAGGCAGAGCGGTTGAGAGAGGTGCAGGAGCAGTTGGCGGGGCGGGTGGCGGCGCTGCAGAAGCGAGAAGAGGAGGAGCGACGGGGCGTTGCAGAACAGCTGAGGAAGCTTATAGAAAGGCTTGAGAAGGGGGTGGAGGAGGGGGGAGAGGGTGGTGGAGAAGGGGGAGAGGGGGGAGGGAATGGGGGAGGGGGATTGGCGGCGTGGAAGGAGATGGCTGGGAGGGAGGTGGAGAGGGTGGGGAGGGAGGTGGAGGGGAAGGGGCGGGCGGATGGGGAGAGGGTGAGTGCGATGGAGGGGCAGTGGCGAGTGCGGTGGGAGGAGGTGGCGGCGGCAGCAGAGGAGGGCAGGAAGCAGCAGCATGTGACGGTGCAGCAACTCATGGAGGTGAGCAGAGCGGGTTTGAAGGTATTTGCTGTGGTGGGGTGGGATGTGATGGGCTGCACATGAGCTATGGGTTCTGGTGAGCTAATGAGCAAAGGGCATGTGACCGTGCAGCATCTCATGGAGGTGAGAAGGGTAGTGTCTACAGTGGGTCCTTGGTGGTTTATAGGTATGGGCTGTGGTAGGATGCAATGGAGTGCCGCATAAGGGCTGTGGGTGCTGTGGTGAAAGCTGGCTCTGCACATGCTACCCTCCTCTCCACTGTTCTCCTCAACTTGCAGGCCGAGGCAGAGCGAGTGGTGGCAGATGAGGAGACTGGGTGTGTAATGCTGCACGCTGCACTTCCTTCACCTTGCTTATGCACATCCACCCCCTCCACCTACTCCCTCCCACTCACAGGCTGAGGCGGAGCGTGTGGTGGCAGCGCGAGCAGCCCTGGACCGATACGGGCTGGGCATAGTGCAGCGCAGCACGCTGCGCTTCTCCCACCACCCCGACATTGCAGACAGCGACGTCTTGACTTAGGCCCTCGTTATCTAGACATGTATTAATCAGAATGTCCGACGTGTTGTATCCGAGAGCTACGAGTGTAAGGCTTTCAGTCCGTCCCTTTGCGCCCGCGTTTTTCCGTCCCGTCGCCCACGCGATCTCCTCTCGCCTCCCTTACACACGCGATCACTTCTCCTGCCCCATAGCCGTCCTGTTCTTCCGTCCAGTCACCCGCCCATTATGCCGTCCCCTCGTCCTCGCACACCGTCGCGATCGTCGTCGCCCTTCCGTGGCTCCTCCCGTTGCCTTCCCGTCGCCCATCCCGTCGCCCATCCCGTCGCCCATCCCGTCGCCCATCCCATCGCGCATCCCGTCGCCCATCCCGTCCCTCCCCTCGTCGCCCTCGCCAACCGTCGGAAACTCCCTCCCGTCGCCCTTCCTCTCTCCCATCCCGTCGCTCCCCTCGTCGCCCTCGCCAACCGTCGGAAACTCCCTCCCGTCGCCCTTCCTCTCTCCCATCCCGTCGCTCCCCTCGTCGCCCTCTCACACGCCCCGAAACTTCCTCCCGTCGCCCTTCCTCTCTCCCATCCCGTCCCTCCCCTCGTCGCCCTCGCCAACCGTCGGAAACTCCCTCCCGTCGCCCTTCCTCTCTCCCATCCCGTCGCTCCCCTCGTCGCCCTCTCACACGCCCCGAAACTTCCTCCCGTCGCCCTTCCTCTCTCCCATCCCGTCGCTCCCCTCGTCGCCCTCGCCAACCGTCGGAAACTCCCTCCCGTCGCCCTTCCTCTCTCCCATCCCGTCGCTCCCCTCGTCGCCCTCTCACACGCCCCGAAACTTCCTCCCGTCGCCCTTCCTCTCTCCCATCCCGTCCCTCCCCTCGTCGCCCTCGCCAACGCCCCAAAACTCCCTCCCGTCGCCTTTCCTCTCTTCCATCCCGTCGCTCCCCGCGTCGCCCTCGCACACGCCCCGAAACTCCCCACCGTCGCCCTTCCTCTCTCCTATCCCATCACTCCCTGCCGTCGCCTTTACATCTATCCCCTCCCATCTCCCGCATCGTCACCCTCGCGCTCGGAAATGCCCTCTCTTCGCTCTTCGCCATCCCATCCCATCATCTTTAAAACTCGGTTTTTTCCCTCCCGTTTTTTCTCTTGTGTTTATTCCCATATGTAAGGCGGATGAATTGGACGGTGCTCGCTGTTGGGAAGAATGAGAGTGGGATGTCGCAAACTTGCAACATTCTTGTGTGCAAATCCAAGTGAACTGGATGCGACGGTTTCGTATGTGCTCGCTCAAAATTGATCACACTCGTTCAGTGAGGGATCCAAAAAAAAAACCACAACACTTCCAACCGTCAAAAAACAATACAAATTTAGTTTGAGACTTTCAACTGGACCCAACTAGAAGGGGGGGTGCATACGGGCTTTAATGAACTGTTGAACCACCTTGCACTAGTGTGTGAGAGCAAGAGATTGATTATAGCAAAGTAATACAAGGTTTTTATATGATTACAGAAAATACGAAGAGATGCATTTTAACTGTTTTGTTGTTGTTGCGGTTCGATACAGCGACGACTCGGGCAACTGCTCAGTACCGAGTCAGTTGTGTGTCCTTGCTGTCGCGCTGCCTTTTGTCAAGTCAAAGGTCGCCGACCTTTGACCTTCGCGTAACCTCCAGCTGTTACGTTTTGTCAACCTCCTTGGTTGATTCGTCGTAGCTTCGCTGTAATTTGCCTCGTTTGCAGTTCAATGTTCCGACACATCAGAAGCGTTAAATTACTTGTTTCCAACACTCCCCTTCGCTTCTGGAGTGTCGTTGCTGGTGACGTGGCCTTGTCGAGTCAGCAACATGCAATATTCGAACTTTTGCTTTCCGAGTTTCTTGGTCAAATAATCAGCTGCCATCTCAGATGTGGGGCAGTAGGATAGCTCGAGTCTCCCCTTCTCGATCTCGTCTTTCACGAAGAAATATCGCAGGGCGATGTGCTTCGTTCGATTCGCGAACCCGTTCTTGTTCGCTATGCGGATTGCTGATTGGTTGTCGCAGAACAGGGAGAAGCTGGGTAACTAAGCCAGCTTCGCTTTTCCCAGTAATTCGCGGAGGTACAATCCTTCCTTGGTGACTGAGCAAAGTGCGATATATTATGCTTCAGCTGAGGAGAGAGCAATTAGCTCTTGCTTGCTCAACTGCCACGAGATGGGGCCAATAGGCTCGAGTCGGTAGATGTAGCCAGTGCGCGATTGCCTGTTGTCGGAGTCACCGGCGTGGTCAGCATCCACGTAGCCGATTAGCTTGGGCGTCGTAGTTCCGGTTTTGTGGTAGGTTAGACCGATTGTCGAAGTGTTGACGAGATAGTGAAGTGCGCGGCCGAGTTCCGCCATATGATCCGTTTCAGGTTTCTTGAGGTAGGTGGCGAGTTGACTTGCTGAGTATGATAGATCCAGTCGGCAGGTAACGACTGCGAAGAGTAGACATCCCAACTTTCGCTGGTATTCACGAATGCCGGCGGATTTGAGCAGAGCGGAGTTTTCCTTGTGATTTCCGTCAGTGTAGCGGTACGGTGTGGCGATGGCGGCTGGGGTTAGTCCGAAGCGCTTGGCGATGGTGTCGGCGTATTTCGCGGCGCTGAGGTAGATACTGCGTGACTGTTGAGGAGACGGTGAGTGTGGGGTCCCGCTGCAGCTCCCCTTCAAACCAAGTCGTGATGTCGTTGGTTGAGCCGATGTAGAGCAAATCGTCCACGTAGACGATGAGTAGGATGTAGTCGGCGCCTTTCGTGAGTCGGTACATCCCTTGGTCATGCGGCAGTTGGCGGAATCCGATGCGGATTAGTCGGGTATGTAGATATTGCTGCCACAGCCTCGGGGCTTGCTTGATGCCGTACAAGGATTTCAGTAGTTGACAGACTTGGTTGGGGTCTGTGTTAGACCCGTGCAGTTGCTCGACGAAGATCTTGGCATCGACGGGAGCGTAGAGAAAGGCGTTGGCAACGTCGATTTGGCGGAGCTTCTTCCGCTTCATGGCGGCTATCGCGAGGAGAATTCGGAGAAAGGTATGTCGGCTAACCGGTGCAAAGGTTTTGGTGAAGTCCCGTCCATGCTCTTGGTCGAAGCCGCGTACGACCCAGTGCGTCTTAAACTTATCAATCGTTCCGTCAGCTTTTGTCTTCAAGCGGAAGACCCATTTTCCTGTGAGAACGGTTTTGTTCCATGCCACTCCGATAGGCACTATCTTCCAGGTGTTTCTGTCTTCTAGCGCCTTCAATTCCCTGTCCATGGCTTCGCGCCATTTTTCCCTATGCTCACCCCCCAGAGCCTGCTGAACCGTGGCAGGCTCCTTCGGTGGCGCTGCTCCGTGGACGGCGGTGACGAGTCCCAGTATCTGCAGCCCACTCTGTGTGTAGCGAGGGAGATTTGCATCCTCGAGATAAGCTGCTTGTCACCCGCTTCTGGATCAGGTAAGAAATTGAGCCCTATGCATTCGGAAATGTTGGTGTCGACTGGTTCGGGTGTAACGTAACCGTTGTCGGCGAAGTCGTAGTAGAATTCGGCGTTGACGCTTTCGTGAGGGTTGTCGTCGTCCATTGGGATGTCTACCGAACAGTAGGGAAGAGGTCCGGCTTCCTCCGAAGCTCCGTCCACATTCTGCTCGTCCCAGTCGGCTTCATCTGCTGCCGAAGCGAAGCCTCGGTCCCCACGAAATCCGCCTGTGACATCTCGTTCTGCTTCCATGTTGTCCAGGTACGTCTGAAGGGTGAGGCGTTCGTAGAATATTACATCACGTGCTGCCATTGTTTCCTTCGTGTGGACGTCGAAAATATTCCACGCGTTGTAGTGTTTTTCGATGCCCAGGTGTGGCCCCCACTGTGCGCGTTGGGAGAATCGGCCGGCTCGTGCAGCTGGGGGTCGGTACTGTACCATGCAGCCGAGAACTCGTAACATTTTTGTGCTGCCCAGTTTTCCTGTCCACAGCAGGTGCGGTGATGCGTTGTTCGGGAGCGATGATGACGAGAGCAAGTTGTGCAACATTACAGCGTGGTCCATCGCCTCGGGCCACTGGTGGTTGGGTAGCCGCATGCCACGTAGCAGCTTGCACATGGTGTTCTGGAGGGTCCTGTTCATTCTTTCTGCCACGCCTTGTTGCTTTTGGGCGTAGGGAAGCGAGATGAGTCGCTTGATGCCTTTCTCTGCCAGGTACTGCTTGAACCTCTGTGACTGATATTCTCCTCCTCCGTCTGACTGGAAGCTTTTCAGCTTCACTCCTGATTCCCGTTCTGCTACTGGAAGCCAAGCAACGAAGGCTTCGAAAGCCATGTCGCGGCTCGAAAGGTTGAGGTGCCAAACGTATTGGGTGGCGACGTCGATGAACGTGATGACGTAGTTGTAGGCTCCTTGTCCGCTTTCACGGTTGAACAGTATGTCACTGTAAACCTTCTCCAGTGGTGCGTATGCAGGTGCGCTCGGGTTGTGGTGAGAGACGAACGGCTGATGGGGTAAGTCGGCTTCAGGGCAGGTAAAACATGTTCCGCGAACTCGTTGAAGTTCTCTGCCGTCGTGTAGTAGCAGTGAGTCCTTGTCAAGTACTCCAGCTCTTATCGTGTTATTTAATGTTGTGTTGCTCGGGTGTCCCATCCTTGCATGCCAGATTGATTCACTGGCGCGATGTCCGGGTGATCGCCTGTACAGGTCGGAGTTGGAGTAGAAGCTGGCGGTGAGGTTGGCGCTTCTGTGGACTTCGCGTGGAGTGGGAATCAGCTGTTGCGCAGGAGTCGGTGGAGTGTCGATGAAAATTGGTGCTGTTGACGGACCCGCGATTGGTGTCGTGGTCGGTGTTGCCTCTGCTGCTGCCGATGTTGTCTCTGCTGCTGCCGGTGTTGTCTCTGCTACTGTCGGTGTTGTCTCTGCTGCTCCCGGTGTTGTTTCTACTGCTCCCGGTGTTGTTTCTGCTCCTGTTGTCGTTGTCTCTGCTTCTCCTATTGTCTGTTGGATTATTGCTAACGCTCTCGTCCGTTCTGCTTCAGGTATGGTGTGCGAGTACCAGAAGCCTCCGGGACTGAAGTCGGGGTCGAGATCTGGCGGGTGTGTCCAAGAGGTGAAGTTGACGATTCCGTCGCTGTCGGCGGTGCCTTGATCTGGAACGAAGTCGAGGACGAAGACATTGTTCTTCAGTACTGCCTTGCCGATGTAGAGTCCTCCCTTCCCATTGTACAGCTTGAACTCCTGGGTGGTGCTGTCAGCCTCGAGATGGATTCCCTTCGCCATCCGTTGACTGACGCTGGGTAAGTTGTAGCCGAGTCCTTCTGCGATTAAAACCTTCGACATTTGCAGAATAACGTTGGTTTCTCGAGACTGAAGTTGAACTACCCTTTGTCATCGTGTGCGCAGGTTCTGGTTGTTGGCGACAGTGATTACGACTTCGCGGTGAAGCTTCTGTTCTCGTTGAACGAAGCCACCTGATGAGCACATGTGCTGTCCGCAACAACTATCCAAGAACCAAGTATCTTTTCCGGACAGTTCGCTTTGGGCGATGGCTGCATACGTCGGATTCGGCTCCAATGACTCACGGCGAGGAGTGCTTTCATCAAGCTGTTCTTCTGGTGAGTAGTACGGTGGCGATTTGGTTATGCATGAGTTTGTTGTTCTTGCCATGCAGCTCACAATGTTTCTTGTGACTTGTGCAGGTTGTGTCGTCGATGTCGTTGAGGACTGTACTTGATTGGTAGGATGCGCCTGTGTAGAAGCCACTTGACTGCTTGAAGGTCGAAGTTGACGTTGCGGCGGCGTTGACTGCTGTTGATTCGGGCAGTGGGTGCGAGGATGTTCTGACGTCTTGCAGAGATGGCAGAACGGTGGTACGTGTCATTGTGCTTGATGCTTGTTCTGTTGGTTGTTGTTGTTGTTGTAACACCGTTGAGTGTGAAACGCGAACTCAGGTGCTGACTCTCTTTTCTTGTGACGCTCTTCGTGCAGGTCCATGTCCTGCTGTTCGGCGTGGATTTCGGCGCAAAGTGCCGCTTCGGAGATCTTTCCGTGGGCTCGGAGAATAGCTCGAGTGGAGCGTCAATGAGGACCGCGGCCAGTGATGACGAGTGTGACGAAGGCTTCTTCAGATATCGATCCACTGCATCGGAGGAGTCTGTCGCGCAGTCCGCGACAACGACTGATATACGCCATTCCCTTTTTGCCTTGTTTCATTTCAACTGTTGTCAGTTGTGCCATGAGACGACTCTGATTAACACTGTCTGTTGCCTGATACAGGTTCT